GTTCGTTTATTACACTGTCTGACATTGAAACTAAATTCAACTTTATTTATAATGAGGATAATTAATACTTCTTAGTTCTTTCTTCCTTCAGTTATGTTTCTCATTTATCGCCTGTATGAGTTGGAACTAGACAACACACAGTCGCCATCTTGGTCAGGATAGCACTCGACTTCGATGCCTTCGCATGTGTTAGCGGGATTAGTACAGGCATCTCTAACCGTAGTATCTGTGCAGGAATGATCAATATAATCGCAGACGTCTCTTTTGGACTTCATAAAAGGAGTCTAGAGAAACATGAAACAAAAAAGAAAAATATTTACGTAAAATTACAGACTCGCGGATTGTTCCGTTTTTTTTCCAAACACCCATAGGAAGTAAGTTAAGAAAAAAAAAGCGAAGGGAAGCCGAGTTTTTGAAACCGCCCTAGGAACTACTTCCCGCGAGTTGTCAGGATACTGGAGCGATTGATTGGCTTCCCCAATAACTGATAATTCATAAAACAAATCAAAGCTATGGTTGTTATAATTTTATGATAATTTATATGGCATTTCTAAACCTCTTTCCCAGTAGCTATGTCCTTTCTTTTCTCCTGGTGACGTGATAAACGTCGGCTGTTTTCTCAGCTTAATATGAAAGGAGAGTCCGAGCTTTGCAAAGTGTTATGGTTCAAATTTTGGGCGTTTTCCATTAAAACTTTCCAAAATTTGGAAATTGCGGCAAATGATACAGAAATTTCGCGGAAAAGTTTCCGGAAATTCCGGAAACTGTTGAATTTCCGAAATGCGAACCATTTAACCGAAAATTCTAGAAGTTCCGGGAGCAACGTTGAAGGAAAGAAAACTTCTGGGAAAAAGTTACCGAAAATTTGGGTGTAACTCGCGAGGTTTCCTCTTTTTGAAAATTTTGGAAAATGCTGTTTCATTCGCCACTGGAAGTTGCCGAAAATTCAAACCGGACGACAGCGCCCTTTATCTCAGACTGAAACTTATCCTTCCATTGTTCTTTCTGTTTGGACGTGCCTTTTTGGTGTTCTAAAGGAACCTATAATATGGGCTTCTGGTTCTACTGAAAGGGTGCAGAAGAAATTTTCTGGACCCTTGGCGTCTCTTTAATTCCTATGAGATCATGTTTTTTTTAGCCGCGCACATCAGACCATGTTATCTTAATACCTCCTCAGGTATTCTGCTGTCCTCGTTTTTAGACAATTCACGGAGAAGCTGTCGGAAGGGCAGAGCTTTATTGGAACTTCGCCTGGCTGAACAGACAGCAGACGTCAGGGCTATCATTAAAACGATGCAAACGACTGTCTTGGGATTCATTCTTTTCCTTGCAAAGAAAAGGAACAAAAAAATACTGTGTAAGAGCGGTTTTCTTATAAATACAGTAGAATCGCGATAACTCGAACTCTGAAGGAAAACGAAAAACAGTTCGAGTTAGTGGGGAATTCGAGTTATCGGGGTAAATTTCAGTGAAAGGGAAAGGAAATCTAGTTCGAGTTAACGGGGAATTCGGGTTATCCAAGTTCGAGTTATCGATGTTCTACTGTACCTGCACATTCACCCATCCTCTCTGATCCATGCGGCACATTAGGCCACAAATAGTACATCATTCATTATCTTGCTATGAGCAGTTAATAGCTCATTATCCTATCTTTTGTGGCCGTTTCTGGGGAAAAGTCTTCAAGCAGTAACTTGACATAACCGTGCTATATATGTGAAGAGATTTGGACAATGGTCCCCAAGACTGGATTGGTTGCCTTTCGTCGTTATGACATGCCATTTCTGTCACCCAAAACAGAAAAACGCTTTCTTTTCTGAGAAACGTACAGTTTGGCTCTTAATATTTAGTACCAGTCAGGTTCCTAATTTAAATGCGAAAAATTTTAGGCATGGCGAATTTTTCGTTGAAATGAAACGTTCAGAATTGAGAATGGAAAGGGTCTTTCTATACATTGCATGCAAGGTACCTTTTAAGGAATAGTTGCTGCTATAAAAACTGCTAAAAATAGAACCTACTCTCTGTTGGCTTCCTTCAGCTTTTTCCTTGGCCTTAAAATTTTTTTTGGTTCTTTCCGACTGTGAGTCCAATGAAGGTTCTACCAGTAGAGTTCCTTATTTAAACGTTTGCTAATCAGAGAAAGCGAAAGTCGTTAAAAGTAAACTCGTTATAAAACCTATAATTACGGAAAACGCTTTCCTTAGATTTGCGATTGCAAACCCACGGGTGGAAACATTAGAACGAGACCGATAGCAAATGTGATAAAAGTTGTCTCCCAAGAGAGGATAAAGTTTTATCCTCTCTTGACTGAACTGATTCAATACCGTATGACTCGACACGCCAAATGAAGGGGAGAACTCGGAAAAATTCTTCTTGGGATCAAATGTTCGTACTCTGGGTCGTCATTTCAGGTTCAAATGTGAGGTAGCACCGTTGACAAAAGAAAAAAACGGCCCGCGCGAAGTATTGCTTTTTAGTTAGACCGGTGATAAGGATATTTCCTTCCAACTGTAATGGCGTCCTGTCCTTAATCATCCGGTAGTCCAGACGCGAGATAAATTGTCCTGTCGACGTGGAGATCAGTCAGCCAACTGGGTGAATACAGTTTGTTATTGGCCGACGTCCTTGATTGCGCCTTAAGTGACTATAAATATGACTGAGAAGATTTGGTTATCACCTCAGGCTTTTTTTAAATAGAAAGATCAACCTATTGTATAATTCAGTATAGGTTAGTCCCTCAGTGTGAAAGCATCAAAGTTGCGAAAGAACTGACAAGCGGTTGTGTAAGACGAAAGCTGCTCTCTCTCGCATATTCAGGCGTGAACATCAGGAAAACTTTCAGTTCACTATTCTAATGTTTTTGAAACCTTGTGCTGTCGAGTCCAGTCGAGTCTTCTCGTGCGGGGTTGCCGGTCCATAATACGGACTTAATTCTTTATAATGGACAGTTCTCTTGTTCTTGAAGGTACAGTCAAAACCCGTTAATACGGACCCTGAAAGGGCCACAGAAAGTCTCCATATTAACGGGGTGCCCGTATTAACCGGGTCATGTTATTGAAGTCAAAAAGACACCTTTCATTGGAGTAAAATACTAAAGAAATTAATGAGGACATACGCAGCGTCAAAAAGTCGTCATACCCCGAACTCAATACACGGAAACACTGAAAATCGTTCATCTATTTATTCAGTACGTGGGTGCATTAAACATAACCGTCCCCTGCATAACTCGATTGATGCCAAAATAGTCTGAAAGTGACGTCTACTGAGATTACAGCAAACAGTTGATAGGTGTCTGCATTAGGGAGATTGACTTTCTATGAGATCAGTTCTGTTGACTGGGCAAGAAACAGGTGTCCGTTGTCCGCATTAACGGGTGTCCGGGTTAAGTTTAGAGAAAATGTAAGGGCTCGCTCCAGGGACAAAGACAACTGTCCGTAATAACAAGGTGTCCGTATTAAGTGCGTGTCTGTAAAGCGGAGTTCGACTGTGCATCCGATGTTGTAGCACTAAGAACCGACAGATCTCCCAGAATCATCCTAATCCCAGCTATTATTAATGAATCGGAAGCAGCATTTTTTTCTCGATGGCTTTTGCTTTTCTGTATGGTACCTGTTGCGAAACATGATTTTTACTTTTTGCTGTTTTTTACAAGACTTACCTTTCGCCCTGTACTTTTAAGCACTAGGCCCTTTGACCTTCAGTTCAGAGAAAGTAGAGTTGAACTGAGTTGTGGGCAATATATTTTGACCAACACGAACTTAAACAAGTAGAAGGCATGATACTCAATACAACTTTAATGTTTCGTTGTCAAAATAATATCTTAACTTAATTCGTGTCAACAATTGACAAAGTGATCTTACTTGCCTCGAGTCCTGCAACAATAAATTTCACAATATCATCATGATTCGTATAATTACTCAGTAATAGATATTGTTTCACCAAGCAGCTTTGCTTGATGCAAAAGCACTGGGTTTCTTTAATGTCAAGGACTTTGACAGGTTACATATGTAACTATTACTCGATTTAATTACTTCCTATTTGCCCACATTTGGTTATTTTGGCTGGGGTTATCTGCTAAATTCAGAAAGCCATTATCACAGTATTTACCCCTCCGGCAAAGCAATATCGTGAAAAATCGATGACAAATTGATCAACTACCGTCTCGCCAGCTGATGGAAGTGTTAACGATATTTTTTATGAAACTCCCATTGATAACCCGAATCCAGTTACTGCTTTTTTCGCGTGTCTCCTACCTTTTTGTACTGTAGTAAGACTTGAGCTTTCTTAAATATCAGATTATGAATCAGTTTTTTTCATTTTGTCGCTGAATTTTTTTTCAAATCCACATCCAAGTTGCGGTGAGCATCATCAGAAGAATCATTTCCTCTTCACACGTTTCCATTGGTACTTTATGTTTCTTATATAACACATATGTATATTTAATGGAGCACAAAATTATTACACGACATCTAGATAATTAACGAATCAAACCAATGCAGTTGGGTTGTGACAAAATATCTGTAGATATTTATTTCATAAAAATTAAAGTGTTAGTTGACGCCCTTAGTAATTGTTTATGATCGAACCAAATTCTGCATGAATTGAAGTCGATATCATTACAAGTCCAGGTGATTTTGAAGTTTCAGTATTAAAGATTGATTTTGCATGTGATGCAAATACAATGTAAAAGAAACCGTGGGTGATAAAGCACTTTTTCGTCGTCCTTATTTTGCAATGTTCTGTTTCACCTTACAAGAAATGGAAGCAAAAATTTAAATGTTCTTCAGAAGCTTGTCACTGCAGTGCTATAGGCCAGCGTACTTTTTCATCAGTGGGTTGCCTTCAACAATCAAACTTACGAAGTCAAGGTTAAAGACCGAGTTTTCCTTTGAGCCGTGTCATTGAGAGGCCCAAAGTTCATTAAGAGGCCATTGAAATACAAGTAACTAAAATCAAGAGGCTACTCTACATGTCTTAATAATCACCTCTTGGTTGAAGGAGATTCTCAGTTTCAAAGCCGTGACAACTTTCAAGGTTATATGGTGCAAATGAGGAGAAGAGAAAAATAATTGACCTTTTCAGCTTGGGCTGTCAAATGACTCCGCCCATTCACTGAATAGTTGATCACTGCTGGTCAAAAATTAAGCTTTCTCAACCATTTGAATAAAATCTAAAATTGAGCTAGTTCATTGAGTGACCTTAATTTTTAATTGTGTTCTAATAAATGATAAAAAGGATTAACAAAAAGGTGAAGGAAATCTGAAATCATTATATGAAATCCAGCTAAAATATTAAGTACCATCAACTTTAATTGGTGAGCAGACTTTCACAAAGTGTTTAATAATGACAAGAAGTCTCCCATGTCAAAATACTCCTTGATCCTCGACAGAACTGTGGGTTGCATTGTTTGTCATTTTTGCATTCCTTTGGCAGATTATCTCGAACTTTGGTCCGCGAGCACATTATTTTTTCGCACACGGTTATTTGTTTCACGACCCAAAGATGGTGATTTATTACCTGTTTTCATATGATACTTATTCGAATATAATACTAGCAAAGATGCTAGAGCCCTTCAAAAGTTGATCCTAAACTTCACTTTATCTGTTGTGAAAAAGTAATGAAAAATGAAAATGTAAACCTTTTTTTTCCTTTATTAATGCAGCTTTAAGTTCCGGCTTTAAATTTTTTAAATGTTCAGGGAGAGAGATGGAATATTCGGTTGGATTGTCTGTTGACGAGAACCACTTAGGAAGAAAAAATATTTTTCTCTAAACCCTAAGGAAGTAACACCAACGTCACGGTACCTAGTCGGCGAAAAATTTCTTTTGTTTTATGAAAATATGCACCGGGAATTCAAGATCATTTTTTTTTTGGCGGCGAAGAGGGGGGAGGCAAAAATTAAATTTCGCGGTTTATACAACATGAGCTTTATCACGATAAGTTCGCCGCAACAAGAGCTTTTTTTTTTCTGATCTGTTTTCTGCATTTGCCCGAAATATCCAACTCGAAATATATGGGACCGAAGAATATGATGAAATTAAAATACGCTTAGAGATCCGTAAAACCGATACTATGAATTTTCATTTCACCTATTACATTCTAAACATTTCAGGCACGCGCGTATTTTTGTCTGTTGAAAAGAATTTTTTTTCTCGAGAGAACGTGTCAACGTTTCGCTGCTTACTCTTCATCTAATAGCTTTTAACAAGAGCTTATAAGTTCTCTTGAATTGCTTTTAATTGAAAACCTTGTTACGCCTATACTACGCTGCCAGTTGATTTTATGTGCCTATTCAAAATTACTTTTAGATTTTCCCACTATGCATGGTACATTTTCAAACCTTTGCTAAATAATGTTTGAAATTGTATTTTTGCTGTCTGTGCAGGATAAAAAGAAAATAAAATATAAGGAAAAGCCCAAGTTTCAACTCACCTCGTATTGCGCCCAGAGTTACTTGATTTGGACTGAATCCACTCGAACAAACAACACTCTTTCCAGCAAACTAATCCCTAGGTCTCCTTTATTCTCACGGACGTAATGATTTGAATGAGGTCCTGGAACGGGAAGCACGATGGTCGTAATTGTCACGTCAACTAGCTAATTAGTAGTTTTACTCAGGGTTTAGCCCGGGGGTACATTCATATGCGGCATATGGTATGGTTTTTGAGATTACAGTGTCCTTACTGGATTTTTTTATCCTTTATTGGGTGGAATGTCACGATAATCTCCCTCCCTTCTGGGGGATGGGGGCTTGGAAGTTGATTAAAATATGTAATTTATTTCTGGGTTTGCTAAACAGAAGCCGACAAGACAGGCCTCATGACATGTGGTTATAGGGAGCAATTTTAAATTAGCCATAAAGGAATGTGAAGGTTTAGGAGGATATTCTAAAGAATTCTGCTTTATCTGCTTTACATCAAGTATATATAACTTAAGTTGTCTTTTTCTGCAAATATGGAGAAGTTTGCAATAAACTAAATGGCAATTTTTGTTAAGTTTTACCATCTGATTTCCTGTTCCCTATTTTCGTTTGAAGAATTTGAATTGACATTAATATTAGTCACGTGAGGTAAATGCCCTATATTAAGAAAGGCTAACGGAACAATTGCTCATTGTTTTAACAACGACGAACTTCTTTTTTAAGTTATAAACATGGCCAAAAAAGCCCGCAAGCGAACAATGTCCTACTGGTAAATTGAAAAGTGGGAATTTCCGCTAATGTCCGACCGAGGATGTGCGTATTAAAAAGGGAAATGTATGGTTTTGCTTGTAATCGTAAACAATGTAGAAATCAGTTTGAAACATGATGGAACTGCGCCGATGAACCGAATTCAGTGTAGTCCGTAATAATGGGAGTTGATTATTACCGGTTGACAACTTTTTCTTTATAATTTTGACTTTTCGCCGAGTTTTATCCATCAGTAAAGGCCTGGTGTCAGTAATGAATAGCAGATCTCTGAGAAATTTGACTGTCGGCTGAACATATACTGCTAGTAAATATTTTTAGCTAGATAACCCGCCAGGCAAAAAATCCGCCAATAAAAGGGTAAAAATAAATTAAAAAATGATTGCCGAGACCCGGGATTATTCAGAGCCCATGCGAGCTCTCCGGATTTGAACCAGGGACCTTCAGATCTTCAGTCTGACGCTCTCCCAACTGAGCTATCTCGGCAACTTAAAGCTCAATTGTTCTAATCTATGGCCAGTTTTAAAGGCAAACATAGGGTCCGCCATTTTTGGGTCGGGTATGGCAATAGATCGTACTCAGATATACTCATACCGATTTTTAAAGTGTCTATCGTTTACGTCGTGATGAACCGCAAATAGGAATCAATGACTGGAAATGAAAGTATCATTAAATAAATTCTCTCCCGACAGTCACCACCTTGATTAATCTTAAAGAAAGATGGGTAGAAACGTCTGTATTCTTGTTAGTGAACAAATGGTCGTCTCCTCAATAAGTCCCTTGCGAAAAGAATTACAAACCAGCACAAGTTCCCTAGCACCACTAGCGAGAATCATGACTAGAAAAAGCTACTAGAAATGTTATAAGGGCTCTGAGGATTTGTGTGGGGGTTTTAATGATCGTTCAGTAGGGGGTCAAAAATTGCTATAAAAATACATTAGAACGAGGAGTAGAACTTCTTACCTTTCTTCCTGTCTTAGTTATGGTGTGTCCCGGCAGCATGTCTGCCCGTTTCAGCGCGATTCCAGCGAGTTTTATTAGCTCTGCTGTTAGAACAACCGCCGAAACTAAACCTCGCTGTTAGCGCGCTATTACCCCTAGATGACGATCACTAAAATGTCCACACAAACCCTAGTTTCATTTCTGGTGGGTACGCAACAACGATTTCTCACATGTTAGCAACTCAGAGTATAGCTATTTTTGTTCCTACCTGTAATTTCAATTAGTCAACGTATAACATGAACTGACTATAAGCTTAATACATCCGTGTTGTTGTTGATTGCGTCACAGTTTTCCCACTTCAGGTCCTTTCAAGGCTGCTTCAGCCAGTCAGACGATTTTAAGAACAAAAAACGCGAAGCAAGATCTTACGTATGCAGTCAATGATGTGTCAATGACTCACGTAGTTTGGTTATCAGTCATTTGTTTTTTATTATTGGACACTTTATTTTATTATTAGGCACTGATTTTTATTTTTAGGCATTGTGCTAATTAACAGTTATATTGGATGAAGTCGAGCATGATAGCCAAAATTATCAAGACCGAGGTTTGTGTTATTTACCTGCCGAAGTCAAAGGCCTGATGCGGATAACATAAGGCCTTAATTGATAATTCTCGCTATTACACAAACCCGCATCCAGTGATTGAAAGTCCAATCTACTGGATTTGCTCTGATTTCCTGGATTTTCTTCGGGCTATTTCGCTATTGAACATCCACAGTGGTTCGATGGGACGTTATTGGATTTCCGCTGCGCTCCTCTAACTCACTCAGAGAATTTGCCAAAAACGATAAGCCTCCTTAAGCCTCTGTCGTTGAGTAATTATTTCATTTTGAATTAAGCTTGTGCAAGAATTTCAAAAACACAATACAACATCACCTGGCCAGCCTCATGAAGTCAACATAATCTCGACCAGACAAAAAATTGTAAATTCAGCAAAACAATCTCTTGACCTTTCAATTGACGGCATGCAACTCACTAAGGTTGAGTCAGAACGTGTCTTAGGAGTATATATTGATAGTCATCTCACCTGGAACGAACACATTGACACACTGCGCCGAAAACTACTTCAAAGAATTGCAATTTTAGCAAGAGTTTGGAAATATATACCAGCCAAATATCGATTGCTTCTCTACAATGCAAGTATCAAACCGCTCTTTACTTATTGCTGTACTGTTTGGAGCAACTGTAGCCAAACCAACTTAGACGAATTGTTTAAACTTCAAAAACGCTGCGCTCGGTTAATTTTGGATAGTCCTCGGGAAGCACGATCGTATGATAATTTTCAAAAGCTTAAGTGGCTACCGGTTGATCATATATTCAAGCTCAATAAACTCGGCCTTTTAAAGAAAGTTATTGATGGTAGGACACCGGAATACTTAATTACAACCTTGGACTCACTTCGGTTTGAACACAAGTACTCTACCAGAACAAAAACATTATACCGCTTACCGAAACCCAGAACTGAAGCAATGAGGAGAACATTCTTTTATTCCACTATTAACGAACTAAATGCTCTTAACTTAGAACCAAGCACCTCCTTTAGCTTAATGAAGACAACACTGACTAATAACGTCGCCTCAAACTATACGGTGGACAATTTTACAGTTAAAAAGTTATTCTGATTTTCATAAATCCGTGCTTTTTTTTTAGTATCATTGTAGATTGGATTCGCTTTTTTACCAATGTATTCACTTCCGTTTTTAACATCTCTCAATTTTTCAAATCTCTAGAATTTTTAAGATTCTTTTATTATAATCACTATTGTAAATAGGCTCAGTATCATAATTAATGTAATTTTATTGTTATCAATTTTGTTTTTAGAGGGCCACTAGGGAGGGAGAATACTGGAATTCTTAAGATCTTTTATTATTATTACTATCTGTAAATAGGCTTTTTATCATGATTGTTGTAATTTATTATATCAATTTTGTTTTTAGAGGGCCACTAGGGAGAATACTTCATAGTAACTGGTGTCACCCTCTTAAAATAAAGGTTATTATTATAAAAAAATTTGGTCCAGCTATCTATAGTAAATCCCGGGGAGTACTCCCGTAAATTTACCACTGACGGGGCTGTACCGTTGAATCTTCGACACTTTAGCCTGCGTAGCAAGCGTTTCCTCGCGAGGTTCGTCTAGAAAACTGGGACAAGAGCAAAAAAAAAAATGAATGACGGGGGAGGGGGAGGGGAATGAAGACACTTTGGAACTGTTCCAAACGAAAAGAGATGCATTGTGCCGTTCTCCTCCAGACAATAACTAAAAAAATAGAGTTCCCGGTTCCTGTGGCTGGCTCTGTGATAAAATGGCGAGGGAAGCGTAGTTTCGCAGCTAAGCTTGATCGAGAACAAACCGCGCAGGGATTATGGAGAAAAACTTAATGATCGTGTTGCAGAGTCAAACTGAAGTAAAATATACCCCTCTTATAATTTTCATACCCTGTTCCAGAGTCAGGAGAGGCAAAAAGCCCACCCTGATGAGCTGCACATATCCCCATAGCTCATATACTATATATAGGTTTACCCCTCGGGTGATAAAGGAAGATGAAGACAGTCTATTGTTTCAAAGCATTCAATTCTCTTTCCACTCGTCTCGTATAGCAGCAGCAAACTTATGCAGTGGGCAAGCATCAGCATAAAAGGCAACGTTAAGCCCCGTGCTAACAGACGCAACATTGTTGGCCAACAACTCCCAACATTGTTGGATGTTACTGCGTCCGTTTGCACACCTGTTGCATGTTGTTTAAAGGGTTGTTGTGCAAAGTTTGAAACCGGTCAAGCGTTTAGCTACGTGCAAAGGGATGCATCAACAACGCCCAACATTGTTGGGCCAACAATGTTTGGAGTTGTTGCGTCCGTTTACCAAAGGCTTCAGACGTAGCTGTCAACGACTAACCTTCAAATATTTTTAAAAAATTGATTGGGTTGAACTTCAGACGTTCCGATTTATCCAACTTGCCACAGTACCAATCGAACTTCAGAAATACTACATGAAATCAGGGCAGTCTCTCTTTTCGCTCGTTCTGGCGCCCGCACAACTCAGCGCTGCTCGAGGCTTCGCTGCTAGCGCACTCACAGGCATATCGCGCTCGCTCGCAAAGAGACTAGCCTGGGAAAACAGCCGACATTTCGCGGGGCCACCGCGCTGGTTTCCTCGCGAAATACAAGATTTCGGTTGTGCTTCGGATTGGATGAAGCAAATTTAAAACCAGCTTCTAAAGACGATGACTGACTCCAAGTTCTATTGAACTCTCTTTGAGCCCATACAAGGCTTAGCCAAACAAAGCATCCGACTGATGAGCTTATGACATGTTGATGCCTCAGTCGCAGTTCAAATTCAATCTGATTTTCTTTTTATTGTTTTTGTCGGTTCGCGGAATTTTGGTAACCTTTGAATTTCGCCACGTGTCTAAAATTCTAACGTGGGCGATGCATATTAAGGTCACTGAAACAAAATTCCTTGCCCATTTTTGTAAAGACTAAACAACGACGGACTCAGTTCCTTATTTTGCCAAATAAGCCTTCGAACTTCTAGAATGCCTTTTTGAATAGAAATTTCCGTCGATATTCGACATGAACATGAAACAGGAAAATATACGTTGTCGCTGGCAGGCGGAAAGTTGGAATAAAGATGGAGCTGCTTGGTGACCGTATTTTAATGAGTTGTCCGCCAAAGAAGTAGTACTGAAAAGCTTCGCGAGAATGAAAACTATTGTTTCTGTCAAAGGTTCCGGCTTTTTCTTTGGCTTCAGTTCGCGGTATCATCAACGCGGACACAACAGACTTTGTCCGCCGACTGAATGTACTAGTAATGATGGTTGACACCGGCTACAGCTGCCCCCGCTCTGTATGTTGCCGATCAATAGTATTCTTGGTCTCTGTGTAGCTCTTTGAAATATACCGATTCTTATTGGAGATTTTATGTATTTATTTACCAATTGGGTCTGTCGCTCAATACTGAGCCTTTTAAACTGTTCTAAAAAGGCAAACAAAAGTGTAAAGGAAAACACACATATTGCATACGATAGGTATGAGATGAATCCAGGAAACGCAAGGTTCTCTGATGCTCTGATTCAGGTCGATTTACACAGCTTTGACCAAAACATTCTCAGTTTCGAGAATGTTTTATTCCAAACCGCAAGAATAGATTTGATTAAAAGTAGCCTGCGCGGAGACGAAATTAAACTCTGGTTACTAAGCAGAGTTTAGTTATCGTCTACACGCAGGCTAATTAAAAGTGGTAATCATTTTTTGCTATTTCTCTTTCACTTTTTAGTTACATATAGTTCATTTTATTAGCCGGAAAGTAAACCTTTCACTCGTTTGGGCGGGGAAACTTGCTTGACTGAATCCTATTCCAGCAAAGAGATTTGTGTCTGGCAAATCGTTTCCAATCAAAGATTTGTGAATGATAGAGTTGTGTCTGGCAAGCAATCCAAGTATTTATACATGTATACACACAGTTATACGCACCCCAGTATAACTTCATCGGCCTTCTGGGCGAAATCCCCGTAGGGGGCAACTAAGCAAGTATATTTTGGGGGGATTAATTTTTTGATAAAGCATTTATCCGCCAAAATAAAACTAAATGAGCAAATAAATTTGAGAATGAAAAAATAATGGTTGCCGAGACCCGGGATTATTCAGAGCTCATGCTAGCGAGCTCTCCGGATTTGAACCAGGGACCTTCAGATCTTCAGTCTAACGCTCTCCCAACTGAGCTATCTCGGCAACTTAGAACCCTTCAGTTACAAGGGCCTGCTGGTTTGTGACCAGGAATGAATAGATCTTCCAAGGCTTTGCAGGTTTTCATATTGTCTATGGCTATTTTTATCTGGATGAATATTTAAATAAGTTACCAGATAAATACCTCGCAATAAAAATAATAAGAATGGACGATCTTATGTCTGAATAATTTTCTTGCATAATGATATAACCTCTATACATCTCGTCTCTGATCTGTACTAACAGATCTAACAGTGTACACCTCACAGAAAAATGACTAGAATTTCATTTGAATTCACCATAGCCAGCACGACTTTATCTCAGTTAGCATAACTCAGTATAGAAGGCTAAAAACATAAGAAACAATCGAAAAAAAATATATATCAGAAAAGTTGTATTTAGACTCACTTCACCCAGCTGGCGGTAATTGCGTGTAGGTGGTGTTTCCTGTCTTCACGTTCTGCTTCTGCTTTTGCAAGGATGACGGTTTTTGATTTGAAAAATTCTAAGGAAGACCTTACGCAGTTATTCATTGGTCAATGTTTTTTGTTTTCAATTTATGCATGGTAAATTTAACTTCCTTTGAATGAGATCAAGAACTGAGTAAATCTATGTAACTTATATCGGCTTATAGATAAGAGATTTTAAGCGACCGGTTCATACAGTTCTTCTTTTTCCCGTTGAGTAGGGTGTTGTTATTTGGATTTCACCCATTTTAAATTGAAGGGTGTACCCCTCCGGTTTGTTGGCTTACTTCCCTCCTTCTTTTTCCCCCATTCTCAGATTCGGAGACCCCAGGGCCGGGCGGTTAGTCGGCTCGGGAAAACACTCAAGTAGTAGGCCTGGGTGGCTGCTCAGGGCTCCTGGCCTGGTTCAAGAGATCATGATAGGACTATTATGGCTCTTGCCTGGGTCTAATGGGTTTGCCTGTGGAAAATGATTTATTGGCTATACTTTAATAGCTTCGGCTCAGATTATCGAGCTCAATCAAAATTTGGCACCCAAAAGAAATTCATCGTCCTTATCATTTTAAAGTACAAACAGAAAGGGTCATGTGATGTAGTGACCATTATTCTAAAATTCTTAAATAATGGAGAAATTGGTAGCGGATTTAAGAAAAGAAATCAAGCAATAACATTTTTCTCATTCACGTTAAATATTTCTAAGGCTTCCAGTTTGTTGGAATGACTGTCCATCGCACTTCAATAAATAATTATGAGAGAAAACGTCGTTTTGAATGCCCAAATTTAACGTTGGATTATTTAATCCTTTAATTTTAACCTTCGCTTACATTCATTCTAAACGTAGAAAGTAAGGTTTTGTTTACACCTATCAGAAACGCCAATTGATTTATCCAAATGAAGTAAATTCGCCACCAATACCTGACATGTCACGTTACCATAATCAAACGTCAAGGCACAAGAAGACCTCAAGATTTAGTGTTGAGGAAAAAAATTCGTATTTTTCTGTGTATCCTAGCGAGAGATATTGCTTATCAATCATATGCTCCAAACCAGGTTCTAAACACACCTTTGACCCGAAAGTGTATTTTTAGTCCTTGTGTTGTTTTTTCCCCTCTAAGTTGGAGCGGTTACCAAGTTTCTCGTGACTGTCTTCACACCAATGTTCACCTGAATCATGTTCCAATCATTCATTTCGCACCAGGTCCGAGAGTTTTCGATATTTCACGGAAAATTGATTAACCAACCCGTTCGTTAATTGCTTTACAACTTTATGACTGCTCTATTCCCCCCTGGTAGGGCGACAAGGTAAGGTATTCACCTAACATTGCCTACATTTCTAAGCTCTTGGTTTCGATTTCTACCGGTACTACTCGCTAACTGAACTTTATTTCTTAACCTTTTATCCAGTTTTCAGGGCCTCATATTCTTCGTTTACGATCGGGAGGCCGTAAAGAAGGAAGCTGATCCGCCTGAAAATGCAATCGTTTACTTTTATCCTCCTTCGGTAACAAATGATTTAAGTCTTAATTGTTTAATTTGTTTTCGTTAAACTAACTCAAGCTTAAGTTTAAGATAGTTTTGTGATGGCAGTAAGTGCTACTCTTCGAAAATTGAATCTTGAAGTAAATATTTGTTGACTCTATGATCTTGCAATTCATATATAGCAAACCTAACATGAAACGTGCCTACATCGTGATTCCAGACCTCCACCGCAAACTTAATGTTTACTTTGTGGGCACGGTTGTGACAGCAATTCTGAAAATGGACCTTATGCCTGATTACGTCAGATGATGCCATTGCACCACCAAACCTCATTTGTAAGCAAAATTCTTTGCATTTGCTCTCTGTGTGCATTGAAGCATGGGTCTTGTTTTTAACTCTAGTACATTGGGAAACTTTGCAACTTTACATTTTCAAAATGTGGCTTGGTGGTGAAATTTGCTTCTTTGATGTAAATACGCATAAGGGCCATTGGACCGTGGGTTGGTCGGGCAGGGGGGTATGTTGGGGAGTGTACTAAGGCCTGCCTAGAAGTCAAATAAGATAGATACATACCAAATTTCTCAAAAAAGTACACCCTGCTCTCAATATTCACCTGGGGTCAATTTAATGAAACTTTTACAAGTGTAATTTACAAGTGTAGCTATAATGTTTTAGGGTCCGAAAAACACTAGCTACACTGGTAAACATGTTATTGAATTGACCCCTCTATACTCACTGCTGCAAGGGAAATTTGGTTCTGTTTTGTTTTTAATGGTTAGCAGTCAGTGATAGGAGACTGTTTTTGCAGGCAAAAAGTTTTGTTTCAATTTCCAGACCAGAGTATATGTAATATGCTAACAACACCCAAATAGCTTCATGATATTGTACCACCAAATCTCAAATATATGTGATTAAGTTACTTATTTGGTGTTTAGGAAAAAACACTGGAAGGGTGCTTATTCACAGGTATCATTAAATGTGTGTCTGCAAACTGAAATTATTATGTTCTTAGAAGAAGAGGGTATTATTGAAGGGGGGTAAAAAAGGGGGGATGCTGGGGGTACTCCTATACATTACCTACACGGGTATGTGCCGCCCAACGGGGTCGTGATTTTGACGCTCCTGATTTAGAACAGGGTATCCATTTCAGAGGGGTTTGCAGAACGGGGTATAATATTTTGAACGCATGAAAGCTCCAGTTTTGAAAGAAGCCATTTGAAATTATTCAAGGACAGATTGCTTTTAAAATACGGCTCAATGCATTAACAAGCAAACTGTTGTACTCTTGTTGCACCCTAGAACAGAGTATAAAATATTGGCCCATTTCTAGAACGCGGTATCAGTTTTAGGGCGAATCCTAGAACGGGGACTAAAAAATTGACCCATTTCTAGAATGGGGTATCAATTTTAGGGGAAATTTTTTTTAGAATGGGGTGCCAATTTGGAGTCCCGGGCGGCACATACCCACCCAAAAAATACCCAAGTACCCACCCTGGGGTTCTTAGAAGAAAAGAGGGTATTATTGAAAGGAGGCAAAAAAGGGGGGATTGCTCTTTTTCTGCTCTTCTGCCAGCCCGAGTTTTTCAAAAGGTGGATAATGCTTTTCAATGACAGGATAAATCTCTAATCAGTGCATAACATAATTGATTCGCCTACCACTTATCCACTGGATAGTGCTATCTAACTTTTGAGCAAATGGGCCTGCCAAGTTATTCGATCTTAATGTCGAGAGAGTTTTTTATTATTGTTTGACTCAAGTTTCCAACCACATCTGTTCTCATCTGATGATAGGACCTTTAGAATTTGTTGTGATTTTGTTCCCTCATGTTAACTAAGATTGTTGTACAATTTGGCTTGCTATTCCCACCTACATTATCCTGCTTTGGTAGCTATATGGTTTGCACATAGCTGAATTATTAGCAGAGACTGTAACTGTAAGAGCATTTTGTTGTCTTAGAAATGAGAACTGCACTTATAAAAACTAACCTTTAGAATATTGTTTTCAACAGGCATCTATTGAAGATCGAATCTCCATATGTGGGCAACTAATTGGAATGTCGCATTTTATTCATGGCTTCATTGGTTCCAGACCAGCTCTGTGTAAGATGCAAACTGAAAAGGTGGCAACTGTTCATTCTGGCAAATACACCTTGGTTAGTTAAATTATTAATAGTTCTTTGTTAATTAGTTTTCGGCTAAGAGATCCATCAGAACTGACATCTGCATACTGATATAACCAATTTTTTTCCCATTTCAATCAGTCACTCAATCCTACACTCAGACCTAACAGTACCATGATTACAATTTTTTTAACACAGGCACTTGGTGGAAGTCTTGGTGAACCTGATTCATTATTGATCAGGCAGCTGGAAACACTTTTCAGTCTTTTTACCTTTTACCATGGTTCGCTAGAGAGGGTCAGAATGGTGAGTTCATCTTTGTGGGTAACTGTTGCAGTCTAAACAATGCTTCCACAGGATACCTTTGTGGCTTACATACATAAATTTTGAAGGAATGAGAGTAACTTACTCACACCTTGTTTAACTAGTTCCCTCCCCCCCCCTTCCCCCTCACTGACAACAACAAGCAGATTATCAAGTTTTCCAGCAACAGAGCCCTATTGCTTATTTCTTATGTACATTCTCCAGGAAGACTAGACATGTGATTGTACTCCATGGATGTGTTATTCATATGTATTCTTGGCTGCAGATACAGTATCAAATTCTTGGGTGCGGCAAATCATAATGTTGATAGACATAAGAATTAGCAAGAGTGAATGATGAAGTTTATCAAAATATGCTTTGAAAAGCAAGAAAAAACCAATTGTTTTGAGGGTGCTTTCTCTTCCTCAGTAGTTTAAAAGCAACTGAAACATGCGTGCACAATGTAACATTCAAATAATATTCCAAACAAATATGTAACTTTACATGCGCACACTGACTTTGAGAGGTTAAGTCCACATTCAGTTCAGCTGGGTCTAGTGTCCAGTGTCTGAATATCATTCTGGCCTCAAATGTGCACCTTAGTGAATTAGTATTTGCAGTTAATATTAGATCTATTAAACTAGCAGTTATTCTTTATAACAGTACATTAAATTAATGCTTATGTTAATTTGCCAGATTATTCTTTCCTGTCAATCCATTAATGCATTTTTTAGATGTGTGAGACACAGAAGCAGTTCTTGACACGCATGAATATCATCTGGGATTGTTATCTGCATTTTGTTCGTCACTATGGGGATTTCTTACCAGGAGTTTTTGATCCACTTCCATTTCTTGACCTTCCAAAAGTATGTATTGTTTATTGTACAGCAAACAGCGGCTGCACGTTCTCCGTACTTATTTTAAGACCCTGAGTATTGGAGCAGCCCAAACAGGCTTTTAGCCAGGCATTGAAACTGGCTGTCCAGAAGGCATGTTTTCCCATAAAATTATGAGAGATTAAGTGAATTTTCCTTGTATTTCTTCCAAAAATGGGCATCCATAGGACGGTTGGACACCTTTCTGGCTAAAATGTTGAGCCCAAACCTCGTTCTACTGTTCCATTGTTTGGTTCCCAACCAACTGAGCTAACTGTTCTGTTTAGTGTCTGATGAAATTAAGATGGTTACTAGTTAATGAAGGTTGAAGTGAAAGACCTAATGTTTGGTTTTGTCAGCTTAGAAAAAGAAAAATGGAATTTCCTTTTCCCTTTTCCCATTTCCACTTTTGGTTTTGATACATGTAACTGAGTTAATTGATACTGTATTGCTGTAAAGTGCCTTTTAGTTTAGACATCACTGGTAATGGTGCAATATAAATGAAGTATTATTGCTATTGTTGCTGTTGTTGGTTGGTATAGAAAGTTCCAAAACTCAGGGCAAAATTTGAGACAAAAAACGAATATTTTGTTGGGTTGTGTAACAGAAAAGTTATGTATCCGCAAGAGAAGATTGCTCTTTTTTGGTCTCCAATTTTGCCCTGAGGTTTGGAATTTTCTGTACTAAATGTCTTTGCCAGAGCAGGTGAAGAACCTTTTTTGGTAACGTTGTTGTTGTTGCTGTTATTATTATTATTATTATTATTATTATTATTATTATTATTGTCAATTAGGTGAATTGGCTTTAAAAGGAAACTTTAGCTTATTAACCCCCAATAGTACCCAAAGTTAAATCAAAGAAAAATCCTAAAGTCTGGTTTGTAAAATATTGAAAAAGGATAATTACCATGTGAAAGTACTACAGTCAACACCTCGGTAAAACAGACACCTGGAGTTGGTCCATGACTTTATTTACTCCATCTTGTTGACTCTCTATAAGACGGACATCACTCTTAGATGGACACTTAATAGTGCCAGTCCCAAAGTCATCCATCTTAGAAAGAGTTGACCGACTTAATAGCTTTTATTTGAATGATCCCACCACAGGATGTCATACACAGACTCAGAACGGCCAGTCAGAACAGTCAGTCTGCTCAAAACTAACCTGTATGGTAGGCGATTAAAAGGGGATGGAAAAGGGAGAATTTAGGGGCATGATTACATCCTCCCTTCACGTGCGTCCATCCAGTTCCCGCTGGATTTAATCCGCCCTTTTCCCTTCAAACAACTGCCACGCAGGCTAGCTCAAAACAGTCTTCCTGGTTGTCATAGATATGTGGTAAATGCCTTTTGTCATTACTTTTATAGCGTCATCTTATTGTTTTGTTTGATTTTTGTACAGAGAGTTGCCGCCACGTGTTTTACTAAAGCGTCATACATTCTACAAGCCTGTCAACGCCGAAAACACATTCTGGGAGGATGCATTCTTTACAGTAACAGGTTGAAAGTATTCCTTTATTAAACATAAACACAGGTCACAGGTCACAGGTCACAGGTCACAAATGCATGTCACTGCTCTATTGATAAGTAACTCAGGAAAACAGTTTCCCCTCTAGCTTAAACTCCATTTCAGAATGTGATTAGGGCTAGGAGACACTCTTAATGTTGTTGATTTGCCGTAGCACGGTGACCTGTACTCTAACCTGCACTTGTGACCTGTGACCTGAATTTTATACCTGTGGCCTGTGTGGCAGGGTTCTAGAAAGGTATGGGCGTAATTTAAAATAAGAGCGTTGGCCTCGAGGAAAAGGGACTCGCGAGTATATTTCTCCCTCGCATACATCATTTATTTTACGTTTTTCTTTGGCGCAGAAGAGTGGACAATCCCGATCAGGCAAAAGTTAGTTCCATCGTAAGTTCAGTAAAAAGGGCAACAACAACAAGTGACTTGTTTTGCAACATTCCTACAAAACGAGGTTGAAAAGCAATGTTGCGCGTTTTACCACCCGTGTTCAAACCTGTCTAGCAAGTCAAGTCAGGTTGTTGCAAGTTGCTTGAATACTGACCTCTGATTGGAGAAAATTACGCGGAAGTCACGTCATACACGCAAGTTGCGTCACTAGTTGCAAAACAAGTTTACATCGGCCTTTAAAATGCACAACATGGACAGATTTTGTTGCAAAAAGTAGAACTACTCTACTTTCTGCAACAAATTTTTGCAATTTGCATTGACCTGATTTGTTGCAAGACAGGTTTGAATGTGGTTGGTAAAACGCGCAACATCGCTATTCACTCGTTTTGCAACAGTGTTGTAAAATAAGTTGCACGATTTTATTCTCCGTTTTACCGTACCTTTACCTTCGTGGGTTTACCCAAGCGAAGCTGCAGTAAAAAGAACTTATGACCTTTAAATGACAACATGACTTCATGCATGTTGGTTAATTAAAATCGATGTTTCCGCGATCCCAAATGGCTACATACGTGTAATCATAATAGAAAGTTATTTGCTCATGTGGGCACGTATGTTATTTTTCAGCATTTTGTGCACCCAATTTGAGCCGTCCATTACAGAGAGGCTGATTCTCTTAAAACCCAACCAAAGCAACGTAAGCATCTTGTTTCAAGGAAGTTGTTGAGTGCTTTTTAGGACTTTAAATGATTTTCTCAGTGTTATTTGTTTCTTTCTTATAAACAGCTTCCAGCAAGGCCTGTTAAAACCGGTAAGTTTCCTTTTGTTTCCTTATAGATAAAGCATCCACGGTTACTGCAATCACGAATTTCCGTAGCCTGCTTGAGGTTTGACTGTAATTTTGGAAGACCTACTATTTTCAGCTTGGATTTGTTATCATTTTTCCTTAGAACATGTTCTACCATTTGGCGTACGTATCCTGAATGCGTTTCTGACACTGTCCGAGTATTTAAACCTTTACGACGCTCTGTCAGAGTCTGCTTACAGACAATCTGTCCGTTCAGATTCCACTGGGGCGTTTCCTGATATGTACACCAGACCCCATTCACCCGAGACCAGTCGAAACCCTTCAGAGGATCTCGGAGGCCATAAGCTGCAACAGCATTCGAGCGGTAACGTTGCTTCTTCACACGAGAGCTCAGTTGGTGAATCCCCCGAGAAAAAAAGTGATTCTGATAAAAATTGTCCAGAAAATGAAGTCTCTGCTGTTCCATCTGATGCGCCTGGTGGTCATATGCTACAAGCTGAAAAAAGAGGTGTGGATTCTGAAGTTGTAACAATAACACGTGGTACTGAGCCTTTGTCTTCAGTTAAGTGTAAGGATGAAAGCTCTGAGGAGGCCACGTGGAAAACACAAGGTGATGGTGTGAGTAACATTTCTGTTGAACATTCGCATGAATTTGGTGGCAGAAATCGGCACGTTGTTATAACAGGGGTTGAAGAAATTGAAAGCGGATCACGTGTATTGAAAGCCGAGACTGGGGAAGAGAGTGATGAATGCTTAGTTAGTGTTTTGGCAGATGATAAATACACAGAAAATGAGGAAAATGGTATTAAGGCAAGCGAGACGAAAGACGAGCGAAATGAAGTGGAGGTTCGAACTCATTTGAGATCCGAGGTGAAGCAAAATGAAATCGAGGCTGGGTCTGGTGTGGTTACAAATAGAACTAAGGTGGACAAACGCAAGAACGAGGTGCTAGATTTTTTAACCCGTAAAAGAAGAGGTGGGAAGAAAGATAAAGGGGATGCTAAGGCTGTGATTGCACGGGAAAAAGAAAAAGCAGAGAAAGACGGTAGCACTGCTAGTCCACAGGAAAGGGCTGGAGGCGAGGGAGACGCAAATGATACTACCTCTGTTAGAACTAAGGAAAGCAGCATAGGTGCTTTCTCTAAACCAGAACACAGGGCAATGGAAAAGGGTGATGCCTTGAACACGGCTTTCGATACCAGATCATGTGAGTCGTTATACGACATTGGTGTTAGGAGTATGGCTTTTGATAGTTCTTGTGAGAGTAATCTGTCCAGTGTAAGTCTCACCATGGAAACTGTAGACGTGTTGCGAATAAAAGTTGTTGAATGTAGTGGTACTCGGTTTGATAAACTGGAGCGCTGTGAACGCGAGCAGGACAAGAATACAAGTGTGCCTTGCTCGACAACCGATGACTCAAAGTTTGGCATACTGGGATCATCAGAAAACGAGGAGACTTACCCTCCGGTCTTGAATGGATTGATTCCAAAAGTTTTTCAGATCTTTGAGGATGGCAATGTTGACCGTAAGAGCCTCAAGTCTTCCAGTGGCTCAGAAAAGTGTTGTCAGGCATGTGCAGATGTAAAGAAATCGAGTACCTATATCTCGACGGATTCGAACGTTCGTGGATCTCATGAAGATGGCGGTGAGGTACGTGGCAAGGAAACTTGCACAAATAAAGATCCCTCCTCTGTTGAGACAGATTCAGAAAGCGGATCAGAGGATCTCTTGCCAGATGATCAAGAAACAGATTTTAGCGAAACTAACCCAAGAGATGGTGAAAGAGCAAACTGTGGTACAGACACAGACACAAACACACCAAGCTCGGTTGAAGTTAAGGAGAATTCCTCCAAAGATCTCGCTTCGAGAAATGAATTAATTAAGACTCCAATAGTTTGTGACTCTTTTGCGGTTCGAAATCTCAACTCGCGCTCTCCCGAAAAGTTCTTGGAAAAGTCCTTTGTTGCTACCGCAGAAGATTTAAAAACTGAAAGAAGTGATACATCTAATGCAGGCGCAAATGGCAAATGTAGTTCATTGGTTGAAAATGACTCATATGAAGAAACATCAGAAAGTCGAAAGACTCTGGGAAATGTTTCGGAGAATCCGGTCTCGAGTGTAGTAGTCGATGATAGGATGTCCGTGCCTAGATCAGAAATTGAAGGGACCGCGAAAAATGCTTCCGAAATTTTTCATTCAAATGGTGCTTCCAATGCAGAAGTCGATGGTGGGAACCCTCCGACTGAATCGCTGAACCATATTGAATACGACTCGCAGATTCATATAACAAATGGTCATGAGGGACCAGCCGCAATTGGTGTGGTTGGTATGCCTGTTGACTCTGCACAGGAGGAGATAGAGGGCTCTTCTCATGATCAGTGGCAAGAACCACAATTTCCTGTTCAACCGGAAGATGATGAGGGAGAGGCACTCTGGTTTGAAGAAGATGGCGATGATATAAACCAGGTAACGAACTCTGTTACTATACCATATAGTATACGTTTTTTGACTGGGTACATGACATCGGAATGACTTTCATTCCGGAATGAGTTTCTCCAAGAATGAGGTTCGTACTACTGCTTTTTTATTCACATGGCAAAATCGACTGGCACAGCCTAAAGGTGATGTTACACGGGGCGATTTGCAACGACGATTCTAAGAGCTACAATGTCGTAACAATATTGTGACAGTTCGAAACGGTGGTTCAACAATTTTGCAACGTTTTGTTGCGCTGAAAATCGTCGTTGCGAATAGTCCCGTGTAACATAACCTTTAGGCGTTCTCGCTCGCGTGGTTTTCGCGCCAGATCAGTTACGCATGCGCCACTCGCCCCAGACTAGACGGGGAGCGATTTTCAATTGGGAATGAATTTCGTTGTCAGTTTACTTGAAATCAGAATGAAATTTCATACCAAACCGAGAATTTTATTTGGATTGAAAATCGGAATGAACTCATTCCGGAATGACTTTGTATCGGTATCAATTCATGTAAACGAATACAGACGGGGAACATTATACAACTGTCTCCTCAAGGGGAGGTGAATAGTGGTGGTAAAGTCCAGTCAAAAGCACCACGCCAATTTCTCGCGGTAAAAGGGTCATAAGTGTCCCGTGTAACCGCACCTATTGGCAAAACAACAACTTTGCACGTGCATCACGCGTTTTTGTACATTTCTTAGCTGTAGCTGTACGACTACAACATGAAAGTACCTAATTTCACGTTTTGTCGAGGACGTGAACACAAGACGACAACTTTCTTTTTCTTTTCCTGAACTTTGATACAGTCCTTTAGAATTCAGCTACCCAAAAAAATTGCTAATATTTGACGAATTAAACGAGATGGAATGAGCGCGATAAAGTTTGAGGCATCGCTAATTCACTTTTTAATTGACGTTTCGTAGCCGTTGCCGTCGTTGTTGCTTAAACTCCCTGCTCTTGCAAAATCTGCCTAATGAGGGAGACAATGACGCCATTCCTTTGCTATGACAACTTCGACTGTTTTCCTCTTATCTGCGATATAACATTACATTATAGCAAAAATCATAAAAAATATTTATCTTTCTCTAGTACTGTTGCAGTAAGCGTTTTTCGATATCTCAGTTAATGGTGACATAAGTAATTTTTAAAACTTTGCAGGTGTTGCTCCTTAAACGCTACAAACGTTCAATGGAACCACCGTATTCAGTCTCCTTTTACAGAAAATATGCCGGAGTAGAAGATAAGGACTTATGGACCCTTGTGCCCTCTAAATATACAGGGTGTCACTATAACTCACGTTACACATTTTTGTTTCGTTTCCTTTGACTACAGGTGGAAGGCTTGACTCACGTGAACCTTTACGTACAGGCTCATTCCAAAGTTGTGTTGATTCTTTTGGCCGAGGAGGGACTGAATACTGATTGTAAAGCCATCAAAGCTTTGGTAAGTCCGGGTGCAACTTTGTTGGCGAAATGTTGATATATTAGAAATATAAAACCCAAATAATGCTTTCCTTTCTAGTTCATCCTCACTGTGTATTGGCCTTTTTGAGATTGCAAAATAGCCTCCCCAAAATAGTACCAAAGTGCAATAGGCTCTTTGCATCTAGTCATAGTCACGTGGTACCAAACCGCTATGCTGGAGAACTAGAGAAGTATTGGAACAACCCAAACAAAAGGCTCTCGTCATTTAAAATTTAACACAGAATCCATTAGAAAATTGAGTAATTTTAATTTTCAGTGGACAAAAACCTTGTACCAGAATGATTTACAGAATATCGCATTCTTTTTTACATTTTTCAAGGGCTACAGATATAATTGGTAGTTATCTGTAATAACACCAAAGACTATTTTTCATAGGAGCCCGAGAAAATAAATGTCAAATTTCACAAGAATTGTGAAAACACAGGTAGAATTCTGAAAAATTGGTTTGGTAAGCAAGGTGTATTTTGGGCAAAGTGAAAATTGTGAATCGTTGTTTTGGCTTCTTAAGTTCACTTGAAGTCGTCCTTATCGTGTATTAACTTACAAAGTGGCTAAATCAGTATTTTCTAAAACATTCAAATGAGCATTACATGTGAGCCTTATTATTGATAACATGGAACTAATGCATAGAATATGACCCAATTGATCTCCTTTCAGTGGGAAACATCGCTCAATCAACTTGGCGAACTGGAATTTCTAGTCAAGCAGTCTTCAGGGGATGAACCAGCAACGGTATGTGCCAGTTTTAGCTTTTAGTTTTCAAGCTTCCATCTAAGAAGGAAAATGCCTTGATCGCACAACGCAAAATTGTCTTTGATTGGCAAAAAGGAAATAGACAGAATCGTTCAACAAGAAGCCAACACGAAGTGCCAACATTACAAAGGCAGCACTTTCTCCTCACAGATTGTTGGTGATGTGGACTCCGAAAGTACGAATTTATATTGAAGTTGTGAACACCGCAGTTGTAATCGCAATTTAGGCAATTGTGTATTATTCCATACGTCTCACTTGGTAGGGCGCCAATGCAGAGGAAATGGGTTCGAATCCCCTTGAAACGTTCTCCTCTGTTATTTTAAAACCTTGAGTTCTGGACCGGCCAGGGTTTGAACTTGCTGCTTCGCATGCACGGCAGACCGGCGGCCAACTAATTGAGCTTGGCGGGCGGCGATAAAAACAACTTTACACAAGAACTCGAACCCGGGTCCGATGGCATGAGGTTCGCCAGCTTTGTCACCAGGCCATGATAACCTATGTTGGGGGCTAACAGGAAGCGTACCTTTGGGGTTGGAAATTGCTTTGTCAGAAGAGAAGGTGTTGTTTAGTTTAGAAAGCTTAGTAAGTTGATATGCCTAGCATACCAAGACAGAAGTGAAAGTTTGTAATGTATGTTTGTTTTAGCCCCACTCCGATGAATATAGCTTCCTTGTTTACGATGGTTTCGAGAGGAACATGAAAGGTAAATAGCATCACGTTTAGAAGTCGTGTATTGTCGTAAGTAACTGATCATTTCGTATATAGCAATCTCACCCCCTCTCTCGTTTCTGGATCCGCCCTTGTTACTGCCATTTTGCATCCAGCGTCATGGGCGCGGAATATTTGTTACATCTTTTTAGGGCAAAAATTGTTTAAGTGTGAGATATGTTTTTTCTAACGGATGGATTCTCCTCGACTATACGTTTTATGACTACCTTCTAAACAATTCCTTTTGGTACAATCCTGAAGTAAATGTCGGCTTCCCACCGACAAATCAAGATATTTTGCGATAACCGAGTTCAATAATTGTTTTATCATCCGATCACCGAGTTTGTTTTTTAATTATTTGCGAAGCGATCTGCCATTGTCACGCAAAAACGATCGCAAGAAAGAGAAAAGCGTGGTTTCATTTACTCATGAGCAAAATATTATTTGCAACCAAACACAGTTAGGCGATATTGCGCATGAGAAGACCATTATTTGTAAGCAGCTATTTGCAGGTAACGTGGTGGGCTCTTAGCCAATGAAAAGGTAAAAAAATTTGTATCGAATGATAATTCTTAATGCAACACCCTGCTGTTTCTAAAGAGTCTTGTTCTAGTAACCGAGACAAAGTCGGTGACGATCTGTAACAGACAATGAAAGTACGTATGCAAGCTCATTATAATTTTTGAGTGTTTTAAAGATTTAGGGTTTATTGTGATTTCAGGGAATCTGGATGAACTAGTCCATCAGGTGGATCATTTGTTCTGTGAAACAACCCAAGTTCTACATGAACAGTTTGAAAATTGCTCAACCCTGAAGGATGTCTTACTCAGGTTCGTCCTCGATAGCAGTAAATGGATTAATAGATAAATATCTTACTGTACTTCACCAACACTGTCTCTGGAGACTTCAGGTCTAAAGCTACGCCCAAAACTACTTTTTAACAATTATTGGACGAGGCTGAGTATCATCTGAAGAATTATGGAGATCGACGCGCGAGGAGGGTGTTGCCCGCCTCGCCTCTGCCGCCTTGATCTCCATAATTCTGTAGATGATACGAAAATCGAATTCAATAATTGTTTTATTATTCATTGAAAATAATTCCTAGTTTAACTGAAAACAAGCCAAAACATGCTTACCTTCATCGATGTTAAGTTCATCTTCAATTGCCTGTTTATCGGCAAGTTTAAAGATAAAGAGTTGTTCAGAGCTGAAAATATTCTCCAATTAGCAGATGTCGTCCGTCGAGTTGTCTTCTTGCTGTTCTTGCTATGTTTTTAGCCAATAGTTCGCCTATTTGTTGCGAAAATCCTTAAAAAAGAATGACCGAGACCTTGCTTTATGAGCCCGCGAGACTGAGCACCCCACCCAAACCCTTTGTTCCACTAAAACCGCTGGACGCCACAACCTGGTTGAGGTCATTGTTATCTAAGGTCTTCCATTTCTTGCTCGTGAAACGAGTGAAATGTTCCGCCATTTTGTACTCACTACCAAAACAACACAACCTCGTCCCCAGGTCTTCTCGGTTAACTGTTCAGTTCTGTGGAAATAGGCCACTTCCGAGTTTCAAAAACCCTCACTTTCAAAATGAGGCTAGGTGCACAACCTTTCCCGTGAAAAGAAATGAGTTTTATTTGCATGAGAATGAAAAATTATTTCCATATCAAAGGCAGAGCGCCTACCCTTGTTTTGAAACAGAGGCCCGGGGGAACTCGGAAATGGCCTATTATGCTGCACAATTGACGTCATTTCTCACATATCTCAGAATTCTTCCAAATTTGGTCGACAGTAGCTGATTATTATGAATTATGCGTGGGATTTTAGCCAATCAGAGGCGGGGAAACATTTTGAATGAATAATAAAATAATTTATTGAATGAATAATCTCACTCCTTGGCCCGGCTTCTTGGTTTTCCTATGGTTGGGTACAACTTCTTAGAACTTCACGGACTCGAAGCTGTGTTGAGTATTGAGTGAGTTCAGCTTTCAGACGTGAAAGTACAAATATTTTCAGTGAAAGTAAATATACCTTTTTCGGTAGTGTCTGACCGTTTCGTGCAGATCTCTCAGTTTTATGTTTAAAGCGAGATAATTCCGTGATCCGGGAATGCATGCATGCACCGGTACTTAGCTATGGAAATTGTTGGAGCAGTAAGAAGTTAAATATGTGGGTTTTATTTTCTTTCTAGGAATCGTTCTTCCACGGTGTATGGAAAGCATAACCTGGGTAGAGGAACATACTTTCATTGGAAGAGCCCTTACAGAACAAATCATGGAGTTCCCTCTTGTCGTGATCCCTTCTTAAAATTAGAGAAAAGAGCGGCCAAAGTTCTCAACAAAGACCACGGGGTGAACGTTTTCTAAGGTGTCCTATTGCTGGTTTGTACGGGAAGTCACGGCGGCCATGTTGATGGCAGGAATAAAGCATTTCTCTCCTCTGGGAATTATACTCCATTCTCTTGTAAACTTTTCGAAAAAATATTTGAATTGACCACCAACGCGGCCGCCTTCTCACGTGGTTGCAAACCGTGAATTATATTATGGTTGGTTCCGCGCAACTTCGTTCCCAGGATTCTCTCATACCCGTCCATGTGGAGCGAGAGAGAAAGAGAGAGAGGCCCTCCTGTTTGTGCTTGTAACCTATTTACAGCAAAATGCTCCATATTTTGAGGAGAGGTTCACTTCTCGATCATGTGAAAAAGCTTAAGTGTTAAATGTTTTTATACTATTTTTGATATTCATGCAGAGTCATGTGGTTGAGTTAAATCCTGTTGGATGTAAGGTGTGCGATATTATACTAGCTAGAATTTTTGTCTTGAAAACAGTGATTTTTCCTTTCGCTTTATAGCTTAGCCGTAGACTTTGGTTTGTTATTCGAAGGCCTTCCCTTACAGCAAAGACCCACTAAGTGCGAAGTTTATTTTTATTGTTACTTTTTTAAAAACTTTCTTCAAGGATTGTCATTATTTGCGTTCTTTTTATTCTTTTCTTTTTTCTCTGTGCATTAGAATTCGTCGTATACATTATAATTAATACAATGTTAAAAACAATAAGAAGGCAAAGTTTCTACTGGCAGATAGTTGACCGGAGGCATGAAACTGATCTGAGTCAACCGTCAAAGCCAAGTAAATCGATCGAGGGTGAGTCTTCTAATTGGTTAATTTAAACATCTTGTATTCTTTTTCAAAACGATAGCGTCTGATGATTAAATCATAAAGTGTTTTTTGGTATAAAAACTCAGGTATCCTTTCGTGAAACCGATTTTAAGAGAGTACACCAGCCAAGCAGAATCTCAGGGTTATGCCCCAATACACTGCTGGTGGAGTTTCACCAAAGTTATTTATAAACATGTGAAATAGAGCAAAAGTCATATTTTAGAGTTGTTTGAAGGTACTCTCGTTAAATGCCATACATAGACAGCATGCTCTAATGTTACATGTACCACACTTACATTCCATAAGAAGAAAAAATAAAGGAATGAATCAAGAAAGAGTTTAGCGAAGTAGTCGTTCATTGAAGCGCTATGAGCAAAGACAACATTACCTTTGTTTAATACTTACGTACCGCCATGACAAAACAAAACAATCGATAAAAAAAAAATGTGAGCGCGCGGGGTATGACGGGAAAACATTTTTGCGGAGGAAAAAATGTTGGAACATAGCGGATTTTGCGCACAAGCGAAACCGCAAACCGATTAAAATTTTATATAGACGCTTCAAAAACCACCCGAAAATACTATTTGTTTCATTTCCGTCGCAGATATATTTCGCCCGTATTCACGTATATTTTAGCTACAGCGCTTTTGATCTTCATAAACACATAATATAGCTGACCTAGAGATTTGCATAGAGATTTGATTTGCGTGCAGAATATTTTTAATATTTGCATGTGACGCACTACACTAACAAGAGGCAATTCACAAAAATTTAAGACGGATCGGAAAATATTCATTTATAGCTTCCCATCCAGACGATATAAGTCAATCCGTCGGAAGTTTTAAGGTTTTTTTGTCTTTTGTTTTGTTTTGTTTTGTTTTTTTTTTCCAGTTAAATGACTGAAAATTGGAGCGATGTAAATTTATCATTACTGTTATTACAGTAGAACCCCGGGAACTCGGACTTTGAAGGGAAACGAAAACAAAGTTCGAGTTAGCGGGGCCTCGAGTTATCTAGCCTCCCACGCAGACATTATAAATGAGGGGTTCGTCACGCGTTCCTGCCCTCGTTGTAATTAACATGATTATGCCCCATTTTTATTATAAATCTTGATCTGTTCGTTGCACCCAGACAGATATCTGTCTTTTAATAGCAACTATTAAGGTCGCTATGTTGGCATCAGCTGACCGTGAGCGAAGGGGTTTTTAAACAGTCACCATCTTTATGTTTCTACTTCATGGAGATTAAGACCCTGTTTACATGGAGTGGGGGACCCCAGTCTAGTGGGGTTGGTTTCTTTTGTTTTCACGCTCTGGGGTACACAAAACAAAAGAAACCTACCCCACTAGACCGGGGTCCCCCACTCCATGTAAACAGGGTCTAAGATAGGTTTTGCTTCGCACGTGTATGTTCTTTATATATTTTTTTTATAAAACATCACGAAAAAAATAAAGTTTATTGTTGCTATTCTCTTCTCTGACTACAACGTCATAAATTTGCATCCCGCCGGGAGATTAAATTTTTCTTTTTCTTCCTCACTCGTGGAGTTATAGAAAAAACATTAATCCAAAATATAAACGTCCATTTTCTGACCTTTTCGCCGACGAAATCGTACTTCATATATCTAGTGACGGCGTTTAGACTTCAGACAGTTACAATTTTCCCGTTTGGCTTGACTGGTGTCATGGCAACACAGTTGAAACAACAGCCTTCTCGCCACGCGAGGTGTAGAGCGCAATGGTGCGTACAGAGCTGAATTCACGATGAACGCAAGCGACAAAGCGAGTGGAGTCAAGCCAGAGGCAACGTACTGAATGTTCGGGACAACAGGTGTCGATCATAAACTCTCGTTTCACGGGGATAGCGAAGGCCATTAAAGGTACATATACGTAAATAGAATGAGGGCTAGCAGACAGCAATGGTACCAGAGTGTGCGTCGGTTTACGAAACAGTGGTTGAAGTGAGCGTCACACCCATTACACTTTAATTACCGGCGACTGTTTGGTATTTGTCGTGTGTAGGCCAAAATATCTTATAAAATTCTGCTATAGTTCCAGAGGCTTACGTTTAACGTAGAGGTCAAACGTTAATTTGCCAGTTAGGGTAAAGATGAAGCTGTCATGTCATCGCTCCGATCACGAATAAAAGAAAAAAAAGGAATCACTAATAAGCGTCCGCGATTCAGCACCGACTTTTGATCCGCGGATTGATTAGCCGTGAATCAAGCTCTAAGCAATGCGACCTACTTCCAGTGTATTTGCGGGTGAGTTTAGTTTGCCTTTGACTCCGTTTTAGATTGGCCTCGTCGGGAAAAACGTTGATACAACGAAAATTACTACGCCACCCTTAATGGAAGCAAACTTACATATTAATTTCAGAAATCATTCAGCCGATCATTCGGTATTCCTAACCTGAGCGCAATCAATGAACTGTGTCGTTAAGGAGATTTAAAGGCAAAAACAAATGTTCTTACCCTTGATTTATTAATCAGCTTTCATTTAAAACAAAAACAAACAGCAAAACAGAAAAAGGAGGAAAATATCCGAACACTGTGTGAAGTTCCATTCCAACTACAGTATAAAGTTCGGTGGGAACATCTCTTTGCCATTAACGCCGCATAGTTTTTTTAAACCAGTAATTCTATTTGAAAACTGTATTGTAATTAAGTCTTACACATTTTAGCTAAAATTCGATTATTAAGAATAAATAAAAATAGTCACGATAAGTATTTCACTGATGCATACTCTGCATGATAATTAAGTTTTGTGCGATTCTGAAATGATACTCAAATTGACACGTAGTCATTTGCAAGGTAATTGCATTCTTATTCATTTCAAAATATATGCATAATTTAAGCTAGTGGAGAAAAATATAAATTAGCAATTATAGAACAACTCTGCCGGCCATTAGCATTTCTCAAGAATTATACTAGTACATAGCAGCGGCAAAACTTTCTCATCACCTAAAAAAATTCACATATACTGACTGCAACACAACCGTTCTTTGTGGGGAGGAACGTTTCTTGACGATGACAAGGGGATAAGGTAGCCGCATAAGGAATCACCATCGTTACAAATACATATCCATTTGATAAATATTTGCTTTCATTTTTTTGAAATTCTTAAATTTAATCAGCAGACAGTTTACAAGTGTTTTGAGAGAAATTTCTAGAAAGAGTCTTCACTGCTGTCATTGCAAGAGTGAAACACTGCAGCTGTCCGTACCTACATAGGCCTTTGGACAATATGCTTTTGTTTCCACACTACAATGCTCCACCTCAATGCTCTATTTTTCCCATTAAAATGCTTGGTCGCCTCCAAAAATGTCTTTAGAATGTTCGATAATGCTCATCACAGACAGGATTTAACTAAAATACGTAAGTGTTATGACAACAATGTATCAGCAAGTAAATACAAATTGTAGTTTCTATACAGCAGAAAATGATCTTCCACATGGCTTTATTAAGGTGAAATTTGAATGTACATATGTTTTAATTTGGAGTATAAGTCCGAAAATGTTTCAATTTTTGTTTTCTGTGAGAAAAAAGTAATTTTCTGGGAAAATGCCAATAAAAAGCTCAAATAATGCTTAATGCTTTTGCCTCACTAAAATTCTCAAAGAAAAGGCTAGCGTAATATACAAAGGCCTACTCGTACTTAGACATCTCTCGTTAGGGAGCTTAGGCCCGGTTCAGACGCCGCTCCACTCGAACTCATGTGCCGAACCTAACTGATGAATTAAGTATGGCGAAAGAGCGTTGTCTGAATCAATTTGGTACGGCAGTTTTAGTTAGGTGCGGCAAAAGTTCGACAGAGTCTGTCGAAGTTTTGTCGAACTTAACTTTGGCTCGACACACGGTGCGCCATCTGAATCATTTGACGAACTGAGAGTGTCCCCGGAAAGGTGTGGAGGGGCAAATTACGGCAAAAGAGCGGCGTCTTAATCAATTTGGTACGGCATTTTTAGTTTGGTGCGGCAAAAGCGTTAAGTTAGACAGAGTCTGTCGAACTTTTGTCGAACTTAACTTAGGTTCGACACACGGTACGCCGTCTGAATCAGATGTCGCGCCAGTGTCGCTCCAAAGTCGAACTTTATATTCAGTCTTAGGTTCGGCGCATGAAAAGTACGGCGTCTGAACAAGGCCTTAGGATACTGTCCCCTGAAAAGCGCTAATCAGACCCAAACTGATGACCCACAGGCACTTTGAGATCAAGAAAGACGACTCAAATGACTAGAAGTAAGCAAAGAGGGAGGCATCCGTGATGGGAACTTCGAAAAGCTGCAAATCCTAAAGCGCCCCTTTTAACAACTTTGATTGTCCCGTCTCCCTTTGTGCACACGTACTTAGGCCCCCTCCACACGTATCCGAATATTTTTAAATCCGCAACTTTTTCTTTGCGGATTAAAAATCTCCTACGTCCACGTACACGTATCTTAGTCTGCTACACAGCCGTTTTTAGTGTCGTCACGCAACGCTCCTCCCCACAAAGGAGGAGCGTTGCGTGACGACTCTAAAAACGGCTGTGTACTTAATTCATCAGTTAGGTTCGGCACATGAGTGGAGCGGCGTCTGAACCGGGCCTAAGGAGATAATAATCCGTTTTTAGGGTCAAAACCATGTTAAATTATGGGTACTTCCCATTATGCCATAATTTCTGAAAATGTTGGTGGTCGAAATATGCCCATATGGGGGTTTGTCCAAGAGGAAATTTGCTCAAACATTGGTCAACCTCCGATAAGTGTGCCCCTTGCTTTGGCCGGTTGGTCGTTCTGATTGAAACTTTGATACCGTTGCATTTTCCGGTTTACAATCCCGCGCTTCACCATTTTTGGTAAACGGAAAGGCTTCGGTACGGACTACAAAAATTCTGTCTGAGTTTGAGCAGGAATTGTTGATCTTTAAAGTGGTTAGTTCCAATAGTTTCTTAAATATTTTGACCAGTAAAGGAACTTATAAAAGGCGAAGAATAAGAGTAATCTATTACAGTAAAACCTCCATTAGGCGGCCATCTGTCGGGGAACCCATCTAATGGCGATTGGCCGCTAAATACAGTCAACTCCCTTTAAGCGGACACTGAGGGACCTCGAGTCCGAGTGTCCTCATTAGCAAGAGTCCGTTTTGCCTGGGATGTAGCCTGCGTGGCAGGCGTTTGAAAGGGAAGGGAAAGGGAGTGATAGGTGCGAGAGAAACGCGAGGGGCGCACGAGGAGGGGGGAAAGAAACTCCCTCCCTCCCTCCTCGCGCGCCCCTCGCGTTTCCCTCTCGCCCAAAACCCCCTTTCCCTTCCCTTTCAAACGCCTGCCACGCAGGCTACCTGGGATGCTGTCCGTATTATCGGGGTGTCCGCAAGGCCCCCGGAGAGTTGATTGTAGTGGTTCGTCATAAATTGGCATAATCTTTAACAGAGGGTGGTCGCTGGCCACTTAGTCTGCGTAGCAGGCGCTTGGGAGTATTAAATGGGCGCAGGCTAGAGGTTCAACTCTATCAACCCTTTTAGATATTCTATCGTGGATATTAAGGCTCGTTTCAAACGCAAGTACGGCCGCGTTTGAATCAATTCTGTAATCAGTTCTCCTGGTACGATACTCCACGTTATGTTCGGCAGAGGCTGTCCAAATATAACAATTCAGTCTGATTTGATAGTTTAGTTGATTCACTAAAATTGTGCCCGTAAGGACCTGTCCACTAATAGGTCTTCTCCTTTGCCCCCTGGTCATTAGTCGGTTCATGGGCGCAAGCCAAAAGGCATGGAAATTTATGGACTTTCAAATAAAAACATAGGGGTCTAAATCAGTCATGCAGTCGCTCCAAAGGTCAAGGCGTGATCGTTCATAACGCCAGTTTACATGAAATTTGGCCACTGTCTTTATTGCCATCGATGCTAAAAACTTCAGCACAGGTTGAAAGTAGATGACACTTATCCTGAAAGGTGGAGATGTATAGGCGACAGGTTTTCTACAGTTCTGACTTGAGGAACGATCTGTTCAATTTGAACGGCGCCTCTGTGCGGCATCTGTTGCGGAGCTATCGGGCCTGGGCATGGCTTTCTTATAGGAGAATGGAGAGGTGGTGGGAGAGTTGTGAAACAGTGAGTAATTTTAGCTTTTCTTGTGGTGAAAAATAATGAAAGATGGTAATAATGTTACTTGAATAATGAAGCTTAGTGTGATGAAGCTGAGCCTACGTCATGGCCTTTATGATATGTACCGATTTATCTCGGGAACCCGATCGTTAGTAAAAACATCTGAACGCCTGCCTTTTTAAATTGTCTGCCACGCTCATGACATAACTGGGTAAAATTAATTACCAAATCTGTTGATTTGTTTATTTTCCGCAAGAAAAGGATTGCCAAATCATCAGCTGTCGTTCGATATTTTTCTTTTCGAATTTGCTGACTCAGTTCCGAAGTCTAAGCACGAGTCCTCCACGACTTCCGAGTTGTGAGGCATCAATGAGTAAATTAATATTGCTGAAATCGAAATTCGGGTGTTTTTTGTCTAGCTTTTATTAGAAACCATCTTATTATCAGACAGTCTCCCAAAGAGTTATCTAAAGTGACTTAACTGTGTCATCATAACTGGTTTTGTCATCTTAGCTGCGAAAATAAAAAGTAAATTTATGAAAGTTACCATGATTGGAAGATAATTAAATTGAAATGCTGACGTTCTTATGGCAACCCCTTTGCAATGTAAAATCTATTTAGAACGCTTAAAAATGTTAAATCAAACCTTTGAGAGAATTATCCTGCGAGCAGGTTCACTTGTGTGATTTCGGGGAAAATTTTGGTGACGGAATTCATCGCTGTCCGGCAAACGAGAGAAACAAGCTAAAGCAGAGCAAAGTACTTAAAAGACGAGGTTGCTACTTTCACTGTTGAAAGTTTACCAAGGTATTATTAGCTTACTAAAGTTAAAAAGCTTAGTAACTTGACGTTTGACTGCAGTGGCGGAGCCCGAAACTTTTAGTGACAAGTGAGCCTGCTTGAAAACGTTTGGTTTAATTTTCTCTGTAAGTATTTTAGTCTTGTTAAATATTATTTTTTTCAGTAGCCAGTTTTTAAATCTTAAGAGTATGAAATACGGAAAAATTTTTATCATGAATTTAAAGTTCATTCATTGTTGCTTGCATAGTGGGGCTCGTTTAACGTTTACGATTTAGTTCCGTGTTTGAAAATTTGGTTCTCTGAAAAAGCAATGTAACATAATTTTTTAAAAGCCATCCGTGTCAATTATTGAAAATATTAATAAGGTGGAAAAACGTTTTCTAGTAAAAGCCGGTCTTATTATTTCTCGCGGTGTTTTATTATTTGTGAAATCTTTTCCCTTCGGCAACCTCAAAAACACTCTACAAGTACTTATGTTCCCCGGCGACGGACGGTGTCACTGAGCGACGTCAAAGTAATTCTATCCCCACGGGTATTCACTTATTCATTGGTCTGAGTTTTAAAACTGAAGGGGTTGTGAACACAAAAAAGCCGCTGACAAAGCGTTCCCTTGGAAATGATTTGACACTATTGTGAACATACCTGGTAGAACAATAAGTAACTATCACTACCATGTTTAATTTCTTCATTTCTTATGCATCTCTAGAGCCTCATTTCCGACGGGAACTCGTTCGTCAAAATGCCACCAGGTTTCTTCAGAGGCCAAATTAAGTTTGAATTTCGCCGCATCATAGAAGAGCTTTGGCCGGTGAAAGTCGACGAAAACAGTGAAAATGGCGATTTTGCTGACAAGTATCATCTTGGCGAAGAAGCAGATAAACTGGGCGAGTAAGTGTACTAGTAGTTTGCATTTATTAATGTCTGTAACGCAGACTACAAAACAGGACCCTAAACTTGCTCGTCATGTCCACGTATCCACATAATTTAGAACAACTAGACTCTCCAGTTCTCCTAAGATTCTCAGTCAAACCAACCTAGAGAAAAATCCTTGCAATTCTACAATCTTGGCGTCCAAAAGCTGGGAAAGCTTTCAACAAAATCGTGGGAGAGGGGGATCTCAGTTCGGGGTTTGATTTGTTTTTTTTGCTCGCATGAGTTTCAAAAACCAATAGCATATCGCATAAAAGTAGTTTTTGTTGACATTCTCGGAGGGTATAATGCGTTGACATGGTTTTCTGTCGGCTTAGGAAGTTTTTCTGTTTCGGAGAGGCGGGGGTGACCTACAGCTCTTTCGAGGTTGCCGCGGTTGCTTAAGTTTCTAAATCTATTTGTAAATCACCTCCGTTTACGCGGTTTCTCAAAACCGATTAATAGCTGTATGCCCTGGAAAAATCAGTAACCAACGTATCGGATATTTTCTTTACTTATGGTAGTTTCACAAAAGAAGTAGTTTCGACATCACTATTACGCAATTGCCATTATAACTTAAGAAAGTTTTTTAAAACATGAGCGATCACATTTGCGGCAATTTCAGTAGCTACAAGTTACGTTTAATAGCTGCATTGTGAGTCAGCGGGTCCCTTTATATGCAAGGTGCAAGCGAGACAAGCAGGTTTATTACAAGAGAGCAGAATTAGTGTGAATGGTACACAGGCCTCAGTTTTGTTCTGTCTGAATTTTTCTGCTTGTTTGTTTATGTGTTTGTTTGTATCATGAAGGCTTCACCGCTTTAGTCCCTATATCGGTAATGTTCATCGGACCACCAGTAAGAAGGTGTCCTCTGGCGTGAAAACTTATTAAAAACTCTGCACAGTTTGTGCCATGATTTTTATTTCTCGGTTGGTGACCAGGAAATTATGACCAGTTTTTGCTGATAAAACGCGCAAAACAGTTTATCGAAGAAACAAGGAAAATTCAACTGTATTATCGGGAACGGAAAATTCTGGTGATAAATGTGTGTTTTCATTCGCATTTAGTCATCCGTAAAAGTGACGATAGGGAAATGAGTAATGACTGATGACGAAGATCCGATAATGACGAAGTTTAATATTGTATTGACAAGATTTTCTTGATTTGTTTTAGTTCTTAATAAGATCAATATTGGTAATTTTCTTTTGGTGACCTGAATCCATGGGATCATTGCGAAATTGGCCTGATTTTATTGTGTATATCATTGCTGACCCATTGCAGATCATGTCCAAGTGGAGCAGCACGGGCTTCAGCTTAATCGTTCAGTTTCAAACACACTGACTTCCTGCACTTTTAAGTATGGGAAGTCAGTAGAATACTTTCTTCTCAGTTTATTCCAACAGTTCCGCTGAACTGACCTCGGACTTATTCTAAATAGAAGAAATTTTTCTGATAAAAAAAACCTTCATTCACTGGTGCCAATTAAGTAAGCGACACGGCACCTTTCACATTAGCAAAGTTCCGACATCAGTTTTCCTACCCCTTGTAGCACCTTACATGAGGCCAAGTCAAAAATTAAAACCTTCCACAGGTGACCACCAAATCTTCCGGGTTGTGTGATCGCGATTGGAAGGTTTGAGTGTTCTACTTTTGCTTGTGTTATAGATTTATTTCTACCTTTACAGAGCGAATTTACGAAATAAAAGTTCTCTAGTAGAAAATTAAATCAAATTTGCATGCACAGTACACTGAGACTGATTCAAAGTAAATCAGTTTATTTGTCGAACCACAGTAGCCGGATGCCGATTACGTAAAAAAACCCTTTACAATAATGTACTTCTCTTTCACACTCTCAGTAGCCAGCGTAGCGGGGGAGTTAATGCGTATAATCAGGCTGGTGCTGGCGGCGGAGCCGTCCGAGCATAGCGGCGATTAGCCTTGAGGCCGAAATCGCTTTAACAATATCGTCAACATGGTTTCAAGTTTTGATTGAGACTTAAGAAACAGCACCAGATAAACTAGTTCCCAGAACTTTTCTCTCATTTGAGGACGCGACGAATAAAAAAAATCCGAAAGGGTTCATTGAGTCACGCACGTTCCTCCCTAAAATGTGATGACCCTTCGTCCGAGGAAAATAACATTACGTATATGCGAAAGGCGTAAATGGGGAGTGATGGAGGTGGGGCAAACAATCCGGAGTATAATAGATCGGCCACTTTACACAGCTGATAACAAATTTATAGCATTTAGTTATGTAAAGGAAACGAAATAAAAATTTTGATATGAAACTTTTGCTTCTTCCTAACGATCACCCGTTCGTGACTTTCTGCAAACTCTACTCACGTGTTGTCTGTTGTTCTGTGACTGTTCTGTGCAATACTTATTCACAATACCGCTGATCACAAGTATTCATTTTGCGATTCATATGTCGTTCTGTTCTGTTCCGGTTGGGTTGCAACACTTCTGCTACGTCGCGTTGTTAAGCTATCGTTTGCTTTGCATCTCGTCGAGATGACTGTCTTTGGATGATTTGATAACTATGTCTGAGAGTCAAAATTTAACGATTTGTGACTTGGCGCTCGTGAAATGACAGAGTTTGAGTTAGAAGATGGACCTTTAGGAAGCGAAACTACCGGCGGATTTTCTGACAGATACGAAGTTAAGGAGAAACTGGGCGCGTAAGTGGACGCTGTTTGTTTTAGTTATAACACGAATATATCCCGAAAAAAGTGCATGTTTTTTCAAACGAATTTAAGTTTGCAACTTGTTGTTGAGAAAATATTATAAAGCTTGGCGTGAGAACGGCCACGGTTCGTTGAAACTGTTTTTTCTCGTGAGGGAAGATACCCGGCAATTTGATGTGGTATGTTATGCAAACTCTAACCTCGCCTTTTCGCGAGTTTGTCATTCGACGACAGGTTCCCTCACTAAATTCCTAGCACTAAAAGAAGTTTTAAAGTCAGCGGCAGATCTAGATGTTCGTTTAAGAAGTGTAACAGCGAAGGGTTAGGTCACATCCGTTGTTCAATCAAGGGTTGTGTTTGGTGTTATGTAAGCTCATGTAAGACTTGCGTAGTTGTTGCATCTATTAAAGCGAATTTATACATGCTGCTCCTTGGTAAATGCAAAGTACCAATGTATCAAGAGGGATTAAATGTTTAATATTTCACTGACACGAAATTGAAAGGAATCTGTAGTGTTAGTTTATGTGTAGCATTTTATTGACTGCTCGAGGCCGAACAGTTACAGCAGCTAATTTGCATTCAGATGTAAGTTGACTTTTCCTGAAAGTTCCTATCCGAGGAAGCATAGACATTTTGAAGATCTACTGAGCGATAATGATCAGTAATGAAGAAATACATCTTTACACAGCAGCTTTTAATGCACAAGCAATTTAGATTTATTGTAAGAAGAAGTTTTTAGTTTGGTGAACCGTTTTAACCTTGAACCCAATTCAATGTTTGCATAGCCTCCCACTCAGGCATTTTTAGGGCAGCTCGTCTCTCATCCTCGGTGTAAAAACCTGTTAAACTCACGAGTGACGTAAAGCAATGAATACATAGAAGTCAACACAAAAGAGCCAAGGAAAATAATGGCTAGAAAACAAAGAAAAACTTCACAGGTTTTTACACTGAGGTAAACCCGTTTGCATGGACAATCTTCTTAAGATAGAGCTTTTTTCAAATTTACAGTCAAAGATGCTAGTACCCTCCTTCAGACAAATAACACCTCTAAACAATGCCAGCAATTTATCTTGTCCTGTTGTGTCTATACTGTATAGTTTTGACTGCCTATTAAGTACCCCACAACACATGACTCAAGCTCACGGAAACCAGTCGTTTCGATACAAACTCAAGCAGTGAAATTACACAAAAATTTTGATCACTTCAAGTAAAATTTGCAATTGAACAAGAAAAACATTTTGGGTGAATATTCTTCGTTCTTTAAGCCATGAACGTGAAACTATTTTCACCTCACAGGAATTAACTTGTATCAAAACGACTTGTATCAAAACAACTTTGTATCGGAATGACTGGTAACCAAGCTCACTGACTTTCAGAAAGGCAGATGATATGGAGTTTTAGTGGAACACAATCAGTCAAAGAATTAACTATTTCGATTTTTTGGAGGATCAAGAAAAGTGGACGGAAATTTAAGTACACAGTATCTGTTAATAAAAAAGCTACCGTAATCTTTTTTGGTTCGACTCTTCTCCCTACAGAATAGTACATTTGCCTAAATATAATGGTACTGAATTGGCTGACTGGTCACATATTTGTGGTATAAATTGTGATGTTTTACACCGGGTATAATTCTCCATATTATTATTTTTGCAGAAATGGCAACACAATATTATGTTAACGTTGCCTTATTCTGTAGTCAATGTTAGTTGCTTAGGTGATGCAATAATTTACTAGGAATTTATGAGAACAGTAGTTTATACTGTGCCTTGTTACCATGGTTCAGACTGTTGTGTCAACACACTGAAACAGAACGTTTCTTAAAATAATTATCTTCATTTCAACCTGATACAACACTTGTGCATAAAACAACTACTCAGCATTTGTAAAATAATAATTTTGGTTTGAGTAGATGATAAAAATATTTTTATTACTCTTCACATTTTCAGAGGAATCTCCAGTGTGGTACGAAGATGTTTCCACAAAGACACTGGAAAACCATATGCCGTGAAAATAATTGACAAGCTTAGTGATACAGGTGGTGTGGATATTGAGGCAACAACAAGAGAAGAAGTCCTTATTTTACTATCCTTACAAGGACATGAGAATATAAGTAAGTGACTTTTTTGTTTTGACTGGTATTCTGTTGAGTGCTCCATTAAGTCTGTACTTTAGTGCAGCTCTTACAAATATTCCTGTTTGGTATAGGCTAAGGGTTCTGGTGTCCCCTTGGGACATCTCCACCCAGAACTTGTTAAAGTACCCTCCCTCCCCGGTTGTATTATTGAACCAATAGAAAACGTTTTCCATGTTTGCATAGCGTGATATAAACGTGATAGGAGGTTGTTGAGAGAATTCCAAGACAGTTATGCAAACCTGAGATGAAGTCAAGGGTTTGCAGAACTGTCGTGAATTCTCCCAACACCTCAAGTGTTTATATCAGGCTATACAAATACAGGAAAAAAGTTTTCTATTGCTTTTATAAATTAACTTTCCCGAGAAAAAGTGCAAAACTCTTTGTTATGGCACTGATTTATACAGAAAATTCTTGCCAGTCGCAAAGTCTTGTACACGAAGCCTTGAACACATCATCAGTTCTGCAGTTTTGCAAGAAAGATGCTTTCCAAAATACAGGTTATTCTCACTTAAAATAATGTCAGCTTAAGTGGAAAAAAATTGACACAGCATGTTTGTTAAGATTTTCCAAGTTTTGGCCAATGACAGAATGGGTAAATAAAGTAAACTCGTCGCGTTTTCAACTAAAAAACTTTTTCAAATTTGTGCTTGCCTGATTAGCGTGTGAAAAGCAAAACATCTTGATGTCACAACCATGTTTACCTACTCTAATGCAAACAGGCCTCTCGGCCAATCAGTTATTTTATAAAAGTTCTTAAAAAGTTACATCGTATTATATGTAGCTTACTAACTCTAGCCCCTGAAGAATTGTGTTGTATTAAAATGTATGTCCATAGTGGTATTCTCACTGTTGTCTCTGTTATTTGCAGTTGGACTGGTAGATGTCTTTGAGTCTGAAGTATTCTTCTTCCTTGTTTTTGAGTTGTGAGTTTATTCATTATGTTTATGATTTTAGAATGAAATAGAACATAAATACCTGTATGACTGTCGCTGTTCTTGCCTCATTTTTTTTTCTCCTGCTGGGCATTAGTAGGCTTCATTTTAGTGGGAAGAGTTTTTAGGAAAGCTTTTAGGATCTTAGGATTAGGTGAAAGCAAAGGTAGGTGAGCAATGGAACAAGATTTTCATGGAGATTTTCAGGTCAATGTCAGGTGGTTTTTTGCTTCTTTCTCCGGTGTCCTTGACTGAATTGTGCTCATTCTGGTATGGTTTGAAAGATCTTTTCACTCTACACAAGTTACCGCAGAAAGTTGTCCTTGAACGTTAAAACTGATGACGTCACAAAGGGTAGAAAGGACCTGGATCCGCACGGGCGGTTACGGGGGGTTCAGGGGCGAATGGGTTAAATAATGCCTGCTTGCATTTTTGGACGTAAATGTAAACCTGATATAGTCTCCTACAGTTGAATGATGTGTCTTATGAATAGGTATTAATTATTACAAAATAATTAATAGTACATACATGTACACAGATTATCACATTTTAATGATGTTTCATGATTTATAATAGGGCTGAGAAGGGTGAACTGTTTGATCATCTTACCGACCAAGTAACCTTGTCAGAGAAGAAAACCAGGTGCGAAACTGTGAAGAGAATAGGTGACCTACAATTAACAATATTATTGGATCAGGCTGAGTAGGATATGAAAAATTAATGCAGATTGACAGGGTGTTGTCAGCCTTGGCAAATGAAACCTCTGATATCACCTGTTCATATCTTATGCAAGCCAAATTCAATTATCTTGTTCTTGTATTATTATTTATTGAAAATATTTCTAATCTTAGAACAATAATACTTACTTCCATGTAAATTTCCTGTCTTTAAAACTTTTGATTATTTCTCTGCATTTTTCGGATACTGTATAATGTACAGGGATGTTTGTTCTACCTGATCTTCTCCACTAATGCTTTTATAGCAGTTACCAGTTGTCAGCCCTCGGCAAACACTGTGTTAAGTAGGGATAGGTTATTGAATGAAAGATTTGCAGTTCTCTCAATGAATGAGTTGCATTTTGTACTGTTCATAGCATTTGAAATTCCTTAGTACAGTGGAACCTCAATATAAGGAGGTTTCGTTATATCAAGGTTCTTTTTCATACATTTTACTATTACTGGGGTAAAGATAATTGTTCGTTATATCGAGGACTTAGTCATATAGAGGTTCATTATATCCAGGTTCCACTGAAGTTACTTTGTTATGTCAGTTTTTAAATTTAAATGTTATTGCTATTTATTTGCTAGGCGAATCATGCACGAGGTATTTGGAGCAGTAAAGTTCATGCATGATAATGAAATTGTGCACAGAGACCTGAAAGTGAGTACTGTATAATATCAACTTCATTATTTTTCTATATGTAGATTTTGTCTTTTCTAACGACTGAGTTACACACAACTTCTTGTACATGCACAAGCAGAGACAGAGATTTTTAAGTAACTGTTGCGCTGTATTCTTTAGTTTTTTCTGTTGTTCAGATTGTACTCGGTACATCTTATAATGTGGTTAAAGTTTCACTGGTGTTTTTTCTTTCCAAGGGTCACTGGTCGCTTATGGGAGTTAGTTGCTTACAAAAATCGTCCCACAGTGGTTCTCTTCTGAGAAGAGGTCCCGAATCATCTACTTTTACTATCTAATTTCTAATATGTTATTTCAAAGTGATACGTGTATGTGTTGTTACATGTCTTTGAAAATTCTTTGTATACTCTGAGTGGCGTAGTTCACACGGCGAACAAAGAGACCGTTCCATGCGTCAAGTAGTTGCTTACAACAGGTTAAAAGCAATAGAAAACTATAAACCTCTCAGGCCAAAAAGTGCTTGGGGTTGATTAATATTATCAAACCCCTTTTTTACTTAAGATTCAGAGTTAGAACCATATAACTCATCTATTATAAAAGATGATGGATGCTATGAAAGAACAGATTCCAATGCGTTTTTGAGTATGGCTGCACAACCCTAGCCCCACAATAGAAGAGACGTCACTGTTACTGCAGATTAGGCATGACGAGGGGCAAAAGTGTTTCTTAATTTTTCTTATCTCTTTAAAAATGTTTGTTAGTTTTATTTTTAACATTCCTTTCTTTTATTACTTTCCTTAGCCTGAAAATATCCTCCTTGATGAAAACTTTAAAGTGAAAATATCAGATTTTGGCTTTGCAGTGAAGCTGAGAGAAGGGGAAACTTTGAGAGGTACTGTTCATGTTCTTTTCCCAACTTCGTCAACTCTGTTTTGTTTTTATTGTAACAGGACCGTAAACACGGTAACAGAAGACTAGAGATAAGACTTTTTTTAATTTTAGATTGCATTTACATTGTATTTGGTAATACTTCAGATATGCATCTCTTCTTTATATCATTTAGCTTCCTCTTTCTTTCACCAGTGTGGATTTTAAGTTCAAGTTTTCAAGGAATAACTGACCTTAATACTATTATGTTATTATTATATGTAGAATTGTGTGGAACACCAGGTTACTTATCACCTGAAATCTTACAATGCTCTATGTTTGCTGATGCTCCTGGTTATGGAAAGGAAGTTGACATGTAAGGAGATCTTATACGTTTTATGTTTTTCATTTTATTCTTGGCAGTTGTGTAGTTTATTTTGATATTGCTAATCTTGTAGAACAGAGTTGGTAGATCATTCATTCAATTTTTCTGTTACATGTTATCATGTTTCCCTGCCCTTATGTTCTTACTTATTAATAATAATACTTTTGTAAGTGGAAAAGTAGAATGAAATGATAGCCCACGTGTACCAAAAACAGCTGTCTCTCCTTGCTCTTCGCCGCTGGGGTTGTTTCACCAGGTGGCACATCTGTGCCTCGATCAGCGACAGAAATTCCATACTGATGATTTAAAATCTGTCCAGAATCTTGCCAGGAGCTATTGATTACAAATGGCAGTCAAATGGTCAAATGTAAACGAGTTGAATCTACTACAAAACAGTCAGTATTTGTGGAACATTCATACTCTTTTAAAAAAAAAATCATTTGAGTTTTGTCGAAGCTTGTTTCAGAAGAACACAAAATTTATCCACAATTGACCAGGAGAAACAAAAAATCCAACAAATTTACATTTGGAACCCCTTTAATCACTGCCAGTTTAATTATGTAAGCATTGATTTTACGTCATGAGTATGGAATTTCTGTTGCTTGGGCACAGACATCCCTCCTGGCAAAACGTCCCTAGCGGCTATATAGTGCTGCAATTCAAGCAACCTGTAGGTAACAACAGTCACCCCAACTTTGTTTTTGTTGTTGTTGTTGTTGAATGGAGGGATGGAGGGGAGGGTGCAGGTTGTTTTCTTTTCCGAAATATACCTGATTTGACAACAGCATCTTAGCAAATCTAACGCTGATTGAAGGTGCGCTTTTGTTTCCTGTTTTTATGAATCAGTGCCTTTATAATGACAACTAATAACAATCATTTCTCTCAATAATAATTAATTGTTTTTTCTCATCAATCATTGGTGCTTGTGTAGTTGTAAAAACCTATCAAGAAAACCCTGTCGCAGCTATAACAACCACAACTACAAGCAAGTTTTGATTGTCTTCTGTTTCATTTTTTAGTTTATTAATAAATTTTGTTTTATCTTCTTTCATTGCTTTCAAGGTGGGCCTGTGGAGTAATTATGTACACCCTGTAAGTACAGTATTGTATAAGTTATTTGTATAAGTTATCTGCAGAGTCTTACCGACCTTTTTTACCTTCCTATAATGTCGAATTCTGCAGTCTATAAGTTGTTGTACACAAGTTGCCTGTCTTAACTAGCCATAACTCGCTGTTTGCAAGCAGTAACACTACTAATTTGATTGCAACATAGCTGTTTGTTGTTGTTTACCTCACCTGGTAGTACTAACACATCTAGAAACTTACTAGACCATTTTGCTCATTAAAAGTACTAAGTGGCACACTCATTTTCATCCAGGCTGGTAGGTTGCCCTCCCTTCTGGCATCGGCGACAAGTGGTCATGCTAAGATCAATAATGGAGGGGAGATATCACTTTCACAGTCCTGAGTGGGATGACATTTCTGCCTCAGCAAAAGACCTGGTGAGCATGTGTAGTTATGTTATTATGAATAAATAATAGCAATTTGGTGGTCAGGTAGCAGTTGCACAAAGTGCTTCTTCATCTACCATTCTGGATTGAATTGAATTTAGAAATGTTGATATACCACCTTGAATCTAGGATAATGCTTGTGAGAGATGTACCACTATTAAAAAAACATTGTTCTTCTTCCTTCTTTGTTTATAGTATTGGCAATGTAACCACCCCTCAACAACCTGTTTTTCAATAATTTATACATGTGAGAAAAAAGAAATACGAAATTTAGTTGAGAGGAACCCCTATCACTCACACTATTGACATATAGATTAGTGACGATACAAATGCCACTGGAGAATTTTAGGTTTAAAGTACCACCCAATGTAGTGTTTCTTATTATGGCATGTTTGGAATTTCCTCCAGATCTCCCAGCTTCTTGTTGTTCATCCTAAGAGGAGGCTTACTGCAGAAAAAGCTTTGGAACATAACTGGTTTAAAGAAGCTCAGGTACACCTTATATTACATATTCACTCAGCAGATTGTTCAGCATGAAGGTGTTACTACCAGTGATAATTTTTTTTAGCATCCGAGGTAGGGTCTGTAACCCAGTAACCAGTCCCATTAACTGTTCAAAGCCATATGTATTTCCATAGTTAACCCCTTAAGCCCTGATATCCACATACAAATTCTCAAAACTGATCTCCATACATTTCCTTAAAGAATTAGTTGACAGAATTTGATAAAAGATCAAAGCATTTTCTCGGAGGTGATCATAAATTTTTCTTAATTCTCACAACATTCTCTTGATTGTTTATTGATATTGTTAAGGAGAAAATTGATGTTGGTCACTCTTGGGACTCCAAGGGCTAAAATAGAATAAGTGACTTCTAGCCTACAAACCAGTCCAATAATTGGAATAATAAATAATAATAATATTATTATCATTATTTTTTTATTACGTTAACTTAGAGTTTTAATAGTAATAGATTTGCCTCTTCAACTGTGAATATTCTAAACATAAAAAGCTTTCCAATCCTGGTAAATTCCAGAACCTTAATAACGGATCCCTTTCAGACCTTTGTAATGCTCGTTCTTTGTCAGGGTGTATTTCTTTGGGAAACTCCAAAAATGAATTTTGAATCTTGAGATTCCACACCCTGAAAGTGTTCATAAGATAAAGACAAAATCCAGCATTTAGAATTTGTAGTCTCTTTTTCATTGGGCTTGGGCATGCCCGCCCCCCCCCTCTCAAAACAACCTATCTTCATGGGTACACTGTAAGGCATGATATTGTTTACTCAATAAAGTATAACTTTGAGTGGATATTGCTCTTTTACAGCAAGCACGGAATGAAGGTTTTTCTGCAAGGTGGAAATTCAAGGTAAGTTCATTATCCTTTTTGAAGGAGAAGCAGACAGTTTTGTGTAAAGAGCACACTTAATAATATACCCATTATGTTTGGATTCCAAATAGTTATGGGAAAAGGGTCATATCTAATAACAGTTAACTCCCTGTGCAAAATTAAGGAATTCACTTTATTTTATTAGAAGTTTGGATCTCAATATGTTTTATACTAAACATGTATAGCATTTATAAAGTTTTTCACTCCCACGGTAAATGCATGTTATTGTCAGTAAGGACTTTCTGCAAGTACACGAGTATGTGTGTATGTAAGGCTCTTCCTCTATGTTTTTAAGTAATTTACACCTTTTAAGCTGCACTGTAGCATGCTATGGTTAATTGCTTTATTCCTACTACATTTTTTGCTCTTGGACTGAATTGAATTGAATATGGTATTCTTCGAAGTTACTAAGTATCACTGAATGAATGAACAACTTTATTAACGTGTCAAAATCTTCTAGCTGGCCACCAGTAGCCTACTAATCGGGGACACCAAAAACCGACTGTTTTGTTGTTTTTTGTATTTTAGGGAACGGTTATTGCAATTATTGCGGTGCACGAATTGTCGAAGTTGGCAAAAAATAAACTACAACCAGTGACTTTTGATTTAGTTCTTCGCGAGCCTTATGGCGTGAAACCGCTGCGGAAAATGATCGATGGATGTGCATTTCGTATCTATGGACATTGGGTCAAGAGGAACAAGGATGAAAACCAGAATCGAGCTGCGCTATTTGAGAATAAGCCGCACAAGGAAAAATATAATGGCAATGGACATACCTATAGAAAGACTGGCATTCTGGAGTCGTATAATGCCTCGTTCAGAATGACGTCGTTAGGGCAAATTCAGTACAAATCCGTCAGGCAGAAACCTGTGCATAACTGACATCACGTTGGTACGAGAGAGTTATGTTTGACGTGAAAAGAGTGGAGGTTTGCAAGTTGGTTCTGTTAAGGAGAATTATTTATATTTAAAGAAGTATCAAAGCTTGGACAAGACTTTCAAACGTGGTGTTATGAAGTTGTCAAGCATCCTAATGTCTTTGTGGAATATTATTATTTCATTGTGTTTTGTGCAACATTTATCACAAAAAAAAAAATGGATGATGCGCATTGCACTAACTGTTTCAAATTATTGTGCAAATTTGCCGTGAACATATGAGTTTATTTTTAGTCGTATGTAATTATATGTATAGAAAAATAGAAATAGTTATTATTAGTAATATTCTTATTTTTACCATCATCATCATCATCATCATCGTCATCACTATGATCATTATCATCATCATAATCCTCCTCCTTCTCTTCTTCCTCCCCTTATCATCATCGTCGTTATTGTCATTAGTCAGGTGTAGTAAAGAGGGTTTGCTTTGACTAAGTGAAGTTTTATAAGGGGAGGCTCTGCCCCGAGGTCCAACCCCTTACCCTTTTGTCACAAAAGGTACCCCTTTCGTATAATTTCCTTTAAGAAATGGTACCTCTTTCACATACTTAGTTTAGACTTTTGCTTCCCTTTTAACTGCTGTAAAGTTACTGTCTTTAAAAATGTGACTAAATCACAAAACCAGGAAATCTTATCGACTTTTTACAGCCACAAAATCCATCTGTTAGTCCTGTTAGGTCTTTTGACATACTGAAATCACAGGTTTCCCTACCCTTTCATATGCTTGAACTAGTGAGATCCCTACCTTTATTTTATCTGAAGCCTGAAAAAGGTACCCCTTTCGGGCGGAGCCTCTCCGAATAGGGCCGTTATAGAGAGTGGTGTGGGCGAATAGAAAAGGAAGTACCCTTACTCACACCGGATAAGAATCGTTCACTGCAGGTTCACTTTTTTCACGTAACGTTCAAGCTATTTATTTCAGAAAAAAATTAATCTATCGGGCCACTTTTACCACCGGGCTCGAGAATCGAAAAGTTACACCACTCAACAGAGTTCAAAAACCTGGACGTAAAAAAAAAATTCAGTCGTTTGGTGGGACGACTTTGTCAACCAGGCCCCATTTGTTGATCTTCCAAAAAAGTGATAAAAACTTCCTTTTTTCATCGTTTTGCACGAGCAATAGGGGCGCTTGTGTAATAACAAAATCAGTTATGACTAGATAAATGTGCTTTAATGGGACATGTCTGAAACGGCTTTAAAAATTTAATGAGCTTTAATAGGCTGTAAAAAGCTGAATTTCTGAAGCCTTATCTTAAGAACGTGTTAAGAACAGTTCTCACTTAAAACATTAAATGTAAATAACGTACGGTCTTGCTTCAGTCTCAGTCAACTCAAAATGAGACGTTCTAAAGAAGAGTGCGGAATGTTATAAGGATTGCTAGGGTGGGGTGGGGTTACGAAAAAAACTTCAACACGGAATTTATCACCGTCAACCTCGTTGCTCAGGAGCGAGAGATGGGGACGAGTAGGAAAGAACCCTGGGAACGAGCTGGGGTGTGCCATTTTCCCGATGAATCTGTCAATTTCTCTTGGGACGAGGTTGATGAAGCTGAGCTGGAACTTGTACCATCTGTAACTCTGTTTAATTTTCATTACGTGCAAATAGAATTGACTTGATAGAAAGAGAATCCTTAGGTACAACTGTTAGGTAGCCTGAGAGTACAACCAACATTTCGCGACGCTCGAGGAATGTCGGCTGTTTTCTTTAATAGGCTTATTTCTTAGGGCATTTACCTATCATGTGGTGGTGACGAATAAAGTTGAAGAAAATCAAAGAAAGACTATCGTCAACTCCAACCTCGTCCCTAGGGCTTTTCCCTTAAAAAATGGGTGGGGCGCCACCCATTTTTTAAGGGAAAAGCCCTGGGGACGAGGTTGCGTCAACTCGTGGGTACGTTGTTTAGAAAATAATCAATTATTTATCACCTCTGGTTTTCCCACAGTAAATTTTAGGAAAATGAGAGAAATTCAGATTTTAAATATACTATCCTTGTTCATGGCAATGAAAGAACATGTGCGATACAAAGCCGACACAACTCCTCCGCGAAGTAGGACGCAAAACATAAGCTTACGTTTTCTTATCTCGATTTCCGCTCTTATTTTAAAGCTAATGCTCAAAGTCACATCCATTTTCCCCCTTGATCTTGGGGAGTCCTTATAAAGAAGAAGAAGAAGTGCCTTTATTTACCATACATTCATTCATACACATAACCTACTACATTACTACAAGGTAGGAGATCAAGCCAGTGTCGAAGTTGAAGGAGTCGAAGAGCAAATGCTCATCTTCACGTCATGTTTAACGCCTGGACAAGTCAAAGGCTCTCGAATCGTACTAATCTGAAAGATTCCTGCGTGTCTTAAACTTGGTAAGACCTATCCTGTAACCTTGCTGTAGCGCACGATGCACTCTCTCAGCGAGTAATTTGATGCTACCGAACTTCGGCGAGTGCGTGCTTCTTTGGAAACGATAGATCTTCGCGCTCTCGAGTTCGGACCCGATTAATTACGAAATGGGTCTACTACGAGTGAGCGAGTGACTCATTTGCATATCCCTGTCGCTGCAATAACTCGTGGTACGCTCGCGCGTACCCACGAGTTTAAAAGGAGACTGCTGATTTCATTTTATCACTAAATCGATCTGGATCACTATTGTAAATGACCGTAGCTTAGACAGGTGCGATCAGAACTAGCATGACGTTAAACCCTGGGTCCTTGCTGAGTGTTGATTTGGTTGGTTCGCAGCATTTTTCATTGAAAAAACATGAAGAACGGTAGCCACAAGCTTAAGCTGTACTATCTTCAGAAGAAACAAAAAGCAAACACCGGTGATAAACATAAGGAAATATAATCGCATTTCTGTGACTCTTTCATACTCCGAAAATACAAGATAAACCTTATCCGCACCCTAACTTTTCGCTGTTTCCACACTTGCTCGTCACCCTCTCTTCTGAGTTCTTTGGATGAACTGAGAAAACTGTTATTACAAAGCGGCTATCCCAGCGCTGTGTTGAGTGATTAATGATGTTCTGAACAGATAAAAAAACGGACCCAAACAGCCAATCACCACAATACCCAAAAGGGAAGTCCTCTTAGTTCTACCTTATTTAGGGTTACAAAGCAGAATCCTCACCAAACAAGTGAAGGCTTGCAAATTCTACGGCTGCTTTGACCTTCGAGTTGTTTTCCAAATCAGCCATCGTATTAAGTCTTTTTTGCCCTACAAAGACAGACTCACCCGTTCAGTCTCAAATGTCCAGGGTTGTTTGTAACGCTAGTTGTTGGGACTACCAGGATTTCTACATAGGTAAAACCAAACGAAGATTGCAGGACAGGAAAACGGAGCCTATATATCTTTCACCCTTATCAGAGGGTAGATCCTCCATCCCTTTACCAAAAAAACCAACAACAACAAAAAACAAAACAAAAACAAACAGAAAAAACTCGCAAAAGCATATGAATTGTCACTTGTTAGGAATAGGTGCAAGCAAGAAACATACAACGTCCATGGTTAGACAAATTTACCTGATGACTCAGCCCAGATCCCGTGGTGCGTGACTCATGACCAGCGGACATCAGAGTATTGCATTCTGGGATTTACAGCGGGTGATCCCGGTTACATAATTACAAAGATGGCGGATGATGGGGTTGGCTTTGTAATCGACCATTTGTTCGCCTTGTACTCAATTTCTGATCGTTAATTTATTATTTATTTTCTCCGATTTCCAATTTAATTTACTTTCTAACGATATCGCATAACAAAATCTACGAAAGTATTTTCCTAATTTATCAGAACGTCAATGTTCTCGTCCATACTTGCTCGTTCGACAAAGCGTGTCATCCGTCGCGGTTTTCTCTGGGACATTCAAGCTCTTAGTTGTGCGTTGAGAAAAACATGTTGTAGCAAAGTAGCGAGTTCTGATGAAGGACCTTTACGACTGTACAACTCCTATCTGGAAAGGCAAGTACTTAAGCCAGATGACTGTCAACTTCAAGTCGTCTATCAGCTGCAAGGTTTATACGAGCGACTCAAGGATTATGATCCTCGACTACAACAGACAAGTAAGTCCGGTGTATTGTTAATAAAACGCTTTCGTATACTCTGTCCCTTTGAACTGTATCGAGCTGCAAAGGCCTTGTTTAACACACTGGGCAATTTTAAGATTTCCACATTGCCCTTGCATTTCTTAGCCCATTCGCCCATGGGAATTTTGTCGAAAAACGCTAGTCGAGCGGTTGTCTAGTCACTCTCTGGCTATAAAGAGCTTAAACTTACCACTAAGCTATTTAAAGGTCGTGTACTTCGCGGCCTTCTGATCCAGATGCAAAATATTAGCATACCTTAATTTTTTTATTTTGCTGGACATTAGTAGGTTCATTTTTCTTGGAAAAGTTTTAGGGAAAGCTTTTAGGATCGTAGGATTAGATGAAAGGAAAGTTAAGTGGGTAGTGAAACAAGATTTTTATGGAAATTTTCAGCCCAATGTTACATGTTTTCTGCCTTTCTTTCCGCTCTCCTCTACTGAATTGTGCCCATGCTGGGGTGGTTTGAAAGATCTCTTCTCCCTGCACAAGTTAGTATACAAAGTTGTTCTTGACTGTTAAAACTGAAGACATCAAAAGCGTTAGAAGGGACATGAATCCGCATGGGCACTCATGGACAGTTCAGAGGTGAATGGGTTAAGAATTCAAAGGCAGCAAATCATAGTATTTCACCCAAATAAGTTAAATTAATAAGAATCTATTAGCTCAAACACGTATGCGTCATGCACTTATCAGTGGCCATCCGAGTGTGTTAACCCCGGGACCCTCTGGGCATTTGTACAATGATGTTTACAAATCCCCCCACCCAAGAACAATATTTCAGCACAAAAAGGCTACCATGCCCTTCTCCGCTAGGTGCATTACAAATCCTGCAGGTCTTTCCCCTTCTACAAAAGTGCAAAGTGATTCAATTCTCCCATCTTGGACTAAAAATTAGTAGCAAATGTCAACAAATCCTACGTCATGGCCATATTATCTCCTGGGATGGCTGCTGATAAGTGTATTAACCCATTTCCTCCTTCTACTGGTGTACTTTAACTCAGACTATTGTTTCTCCGAAAGTGTTTTAAAATGAAGATGTTCGGAACATCTGAAGAACTTGTGTCTCTCTTCTGCTATCAAAATGGATTACAAATTGACAGGAATACACCAAACTAAATTTTTCTGTGCATAAGGTGCTAAAATTATACATATTTTATCCATATTATTCCCCTGAAGGAGCTTACTACAGTGTTTTTTTTTTTGCATGATTATGCAGATGACATGTGCTTGAAATGTGTGAAAAAGCTTCTCCCAATGAAATTTATGATTACTGATCACTTTCTTATCACAAAAAAAACATTTTTTTGTCTTCAGATTCACAACCACAGGAAGCACCTCAGGGACTCTATCTCCACGGAGGAGTGGGAAGTGGAAAAACCATGTTAATGGACATCTTTTATGACAGTATTCCTGTCTTAAACAAGAAGCGTGTCCATTTTTATTCCTTCATGCTGCAGCTGTATTCACTTATGAATCGCTGGAACCTTTGCTGTCCAAATTATGAGGTGACATTCGATGTAACCCCAGTAGAAGCTGTTGCATCTGAGCTAGCTGGCGAGGCATGGTTGCTCTGTTTTGACGAAATGCAACTGGCTGACTTTGGTTCTACTCGTCTCCTGGAAGGCGTCTTTCGAACAATGTTGGAAAAGGGGACAGTGATTGTTACAACATCTAACAGGTATTGTAAGATTACATAGTCGTCTTAGTCATTTCACTTCAAAGAAGGCAAAGTCTTCAAATTCAAGAAAAATCTATCACTTTCTTCTCGTAAAATACACCAAAACAAAGTACAGATGAAAAGGTTACATTTAAAAAGTTACATGTACTACAAGATTTCATTCATTCCAAGAATATAAAGTAATAGAGACCCGAAATGTAAAGTCACATTAATAAATTGACAACAATTTTCCCTGGTCAGTACTTTTATGGACCATAGAAATGACATCAAAATTTCAATACTCAAGTGAAACCACGACCAACGAGCAAGTGGTTTCACTGCAATGTTTGTGGGTTTGGTAGACATCTTTGTTGAAAACAGCAAGGTGAAAAATGCCCCCTTGCCAAAAAAAATAATCAATATGTTAGTGTAAATAATTGATGCTGAGGTTTTAGCGGTATTATCCTGATGGCTCTGTGCCATTCTCTACAAATTTGTCTTCGGTCATAACCGAAGTGAAAGGTTTAGTTATTGAGTTTTTAAGCTCATTCCTTCATCTATAGGATCAGATATGTATGTCAACTTGTATACCTCTAGCTTAGGGCTTTTCCTTCCTGCCGATTGTCCAAAAGACTATCTGGCTCTTCTGAAGGTCTGTTTAGTTCGTGCAAACGGCTATTCTTTTCAGGATGGTGAATCTGATTTTAATGCAATTTCATCTCAGCGTGCTGACAGATGCAACTTCCAAGCCCATTCGTTTGTGTACATATTGTCACAGGGCTATTCTTTAAGGATCGTAAAGCTGGTTTTAATGCGATTTTCATCTCAGACTGGTTGCTGGCAAATGTCCGTTAGTTCATCTACATGCTGATTAGCACATCTTTCACATTCATTTTCCGAGCTTAAAATTCACCATCTTTCGAAATTTCATACAATACCCTCTGGAAATGCTGATCGTAGCAGTTTGCAGGACACATGTAAAACATTTGGCCTAGTGTATAGCGTTGCTTTCCGCGAGACTCTCTTTAGCTCAGTGAGCAGAGGGCCTTCTTGGTGTTGGAAATGTCATATAGGTTTAAATCCTGTCGGAGACTCAAGCCCTTTTTTTTGTCCCACGCTCGTGTAATGCTGATTATCACACCCCTCATGCTCATTTCCCGAGCTTAAAATTCACCATCTTTCTCGAGTTTAAACACTGATTGTTTTTAAAAATCGTGGTTTCCAGATCCCCCTTTGAACTTGGCACGTCATCTTTTGGACGTGAGGAAGAGGCATTGGACTCTGTTACTTCACTTGTGGGTTTATTAACACGACACTGTGAGCTGGTAGCCATGGATTCAGAGAGAGATCACAGAATTTTCCAGAAACCTGGAAAGGAGACTTACTTTACCCCAATCACGGCTGAGACAGAGAAGGCGCTGGACGAAGCATTTTGCAAGGCAGTCGGGAGTGGACTTCGGCTTTCATCGGTTTCTCTTCCCGTGTACGGTCGGAAGGTACTCGTGCCTGTTGCCTCAGAGAATCGCGTGGCTCGATTTTCTTTCAACGAACTCTGTAGATCCCCGCTAGGTCCAGCAGATTACATTACCATCTGTAATCATTTCCACACAATATTTGTGGAAGATATTCCCCAAATGAATATTTACCAGAAGAACGAGGCTAGGCGCTTTCTAAGTTTTGTGGATGCTGCATATGAGAGTAAAGTGAAGTTGTTTTGCACCGCGGCTAGCTCGCCCGATAATTTGTTTCAGTTGATTCCAAGCGACGACTCACTTAACGAAGACAAGATGCACATTGAAATGATCGGGGAGTTGGCTTACGATCTCGAGCTCACCCAACTCGATTTGAGATCTCTGGGGATTTTGACCGGCGATGAAGAAATATTTTCCTTCAAGCGCTGCATTTCTCGACTCAAAGAAATGCAAAGCGAGCTTTATCAAATGCAGAAGCACCGTCGCCAAGCCTTTTCGCCCTACTTGGGTTCGTTCGAGGAACGCATTCAGTCGGAGAATCGTCGTCGGGAACGCGAACACAATCGGCGCTTGAAAATGCTCGAGGCTACCGGCCATGAAAGCAGTGATGCTCCAAGCGAGTTGCCGCTGACGCCGCTCACTGCAGGTTCATCAGACTGGGGCGACGAAGCAAGTTATATCTCTTGGAGTAATGATGTCATGAGGAAGGAACTTCGTGATATGGAAAGGAAGAGAAGTGGAGAGTACTTAAAAAGGCACGATGCACCGAAATTTGGTGAAGAGCACTTCTGGGGATTCGGTTGGTGGGAGAAACTTTTGGGAAGAAGAAATAAGAAAGGCAAAGGCCAAGACGAACATGATAATTTTAAATAATATGAACGCCTTATTCCGTAGTCCGTCGGTCTCGTCTAACTTTTTAGAGAAATGTAATTGAAATCCCTTGTTGTGGACTTTCATTTGCAATCAAATCTGTCCCCTCCAGAACTCTGCTTGAATGGAAGCACCTTCCACTCTCTTATCGAAAGTCAGCTCTGTACTATAAAGCCGTAAGGAGGGCGTGTCTGTGGGAGGGGGTTAGGAAGGAATGCTCATACTCTCGGGTCGAAAGTCAGCTTTGTCCCATAAAGCCCTAAGAAGGGTTCAAGAACAGGTGAAGACGTGAAACACGGGAAATATCTTTGCCTACGAACAGTCAGTCATCTTGACGGTAGATTGTTGGACAAGCGTGTCCATCGACTGATTACTACAAATAGACCCTATTCAAAAACTTCGTGATGTTCAACAACGAATTTTCGAGCATTTCCCCTTATGGTTCTCCTTTCATGCACTCGCAAAAGCACATAGCTTTCATTAAATCAATTGGGTACGAAGATGATACTCTCTTGAAACTTTTTTCCTTTTGAATTGTATACATTGCATTTACCGAGTCGTTTTTATAAATCTTCTGGTCTGACAGCACAATTAGTTGTTATCTTTAATTTAATGTGAAGCAAGTTCTGCACTAGTTTCTTTTAAGACCCCAGCTTCCTATTTTTTCGTAAGATCGCAGCGATGGAGCGCTTACTAGACTATAACTGGTGGCCATGTTGGTTTCAAATGTATCAATAGGGCGGGAGTTGGAGTGTATAGCGTAGGATGGGGAGGCGGGAAATCAATACTTCAACTACATTTACATTTCGCAGGCTAACCATGAAAAAATAGTATGAACCAAGGTGTATTTATTTTTGTAACTTGTAAGATTTGCGTCTGCGTAGTTCACGAATACGGGCAGATTGGAACCCGGTAATAAGTACTACCACCTTTTTAAGTCCTTTTAACCCATTGCGCCTTGAGTAGCTCCTGGACAGTTATCACTGTCCAATGTAGTGAAGTGGTATCCAGTTCAGCGCACAAATAAAGAGGTACGCAGTTGAAATCCTAAAAGGCTTTTCTTTCTCCACGACAACGAAACTCTAGCACTTTCAGTCTTATTCTACAACCTCATTAATTCGACCACCTTGTTATACCATCCGGCACCACTCCCTGGAGTCCCAAACCTTATTTTCTTCACATATTTACCTCTTAAATATGACCGATTGAATTCTTGGTGGGAAAATCTGACAAACAAGAAATGCGTTTTCAAAGTGCGTTAAAATCTCAGTGATATGAAACAGACCGATACTCGGAATTGCAGATAATCCTATTGTGAGTTCGTCTATCATTACATCGTCCAGAGAGGTTAAGGATCATACTATAACTTTCATTTATTCATTTTATTTGTTTCATTACAACAAATGAATTGAATGATTACCAACGTTAACTTTGTAGGGGTTCAGTCAAATGGCCCAGCCGTGGGAGTCGTGGTAGTTTTAACTGGATTCTACTGTAGCACCATTTTCAATGCAATCAAACAGTAGAAATCTAGAATACTGGGCGTTGCCCAAATTTTGACTTTTGTTCCAAACTCTCACCACGGTGGGCTGAGAGTACAGTACAAATTTAAATCTATCCTATACGGGACAGTTCCGTACAATGTGGAATACGAGAAAATTGACGCCAGGATAGTCAATCTGAACTCGCTAATCGAGGAGAAGGTAGTCAAACAGTGAGAAACAATCTGTTTTGACATTTCTGGCGCTTTTCTTTTGTCAGAGCGAATCGAAGGATTGTCGGTTGTGTTAGGTTTTCATGTGGAATAGAGGTAACGTAGAAACAAGAAGAAAATAGTTAAGTGATGATTCCGTGGGGAATTAGATTGACCACCTAAACGATAAATTTCTGTTTTAAATTTTGCGGCCTTTCGTGTTCTTGGTTTACGGAAAGAACGGGGTTTGCTGGATTGATTTGGAAGATTGAGTGCTTTGCTACTGCCTTTGATATGAAGAAGCACACACATTTGATTACTATTCATTTGGTGGTAAAGCGTAAATTTTTAACCACTTACGGATCAGTTGTGTTAGAGTGCAAAGTAGAAACAATGGATAGTCAGTAATACTTTATCATCCCTCTCAATTGGGTTTCATCATTCAGGCTTCCGCCTGCTCATTTGTCATTAAAATTAAATGCAGTAAAGGGATGAAAGAAATGGGATAAACATGATGTGTGCTGTAGCTTTAAGATTAAAAATATCAGGCCATGTGTGGAAGACAATTAAGTCCAGTTTATTTCAAAGTTCCTCGAGTTTCGGATTCACGGCGAAAGTTTCATAAGTCCCCTGCCTTTTAGCAGCGATGATTTACTAAGCTGTATCTGTGTACAATCAAACCCCCGTTCCTTGCTCCCGTCAAACTCACGGTTACTGCGTCAGTGTGTGTCAGTTTTTACCGACTTAACTATTTCAAGAAAAAACATTGATGACAATACCCTAGGTACCAGAGGCTTTTCATGCGCGGTTTCCGGTTTCGGTTAAGTCTAAAAAAAGTGATCCGCGCGAATTTTTTCTCGCGGCTTCGCCGTTCGTGTCATCGGCCTGCGGCCGACGAAACTCCTCGTCGCACGCGAGAAAAACCCTCTGGCGCTCAGGGTATGATGACAAGGATTTCCTTCACTTTTCATAAAATAGTAGAAACATTGTTTTCAAATAGCATATTTACATGTCACTAAATTCATTTATTGACAGTAATCGGCGATGCATAATGGGTGATTATCTCTAAGCGACCATTTATCTTCAGAGGGCGGGGTGGTTGATTTAAGAGAAAAAAATACCCTTCAAATGGTCTTAAAGCGAAGAAAATGTTCCCCTTAAGTTAACAGATAAAAAATGCAGGGAAAAAGTCGTAAGCTTGGACCGTTTTTGCTCAAACTGAATCACCTATCCCCCTCAGCAGTTAAATGTTCGCCCACTATAAACTTAATCATGTGAGCGAGTCAAAATTCAAACCATGCAAGTGGTTGACGTTGCAACCGTTGGCTATTTCCGAAAGTCGCACAATTTTACGTGAAAGCTGCTGATTTGTGCTTTCTGATGACATTGTCCATTTTGTGAAACTAAGGGCGCTTTCCATTTGTCAGAACTGACCGGCAAGGCCATTCCCGTTGTAATGAGAATTTCACTTTTAATCAAAGCTATCCAGCCAGATCAGTCAAATCCTAAATAGCACGCACGAACAAAATCGTTTTTCATCAAAAACTCTTAGAAAAAGCCTATTTCACAGGGGCGGATCCAGGATTTTTTTAGGAGGGGGGGCACTCGTCTCTTGCTCTACTTCAACACCAATAAACCACATAGTTTTTTTTGCAGAATACCAGTTGTATTAGAAAACCGCAGGTCATCTCGGGGGGGGGGTGCACCCCTGCACCCTCCCCCTAGATCCGCCCCTGTTTCACTTTAAAAACTGGTCCGGCCGGCCAATTCTGACATTTTGGAAAGCACTCTTAGTTACCTTTGACATTTGTAATTTTAAAAAGAAGTATACTACGCTGGCGAATGAAAAAAAAAAGGAAAAGAAATTGTTTTGTTCCAGGACAAAAAGATAAAACTTTGAGTGAAGTGAGATCACGGTAATCTGGCATTAACATCAACAGAACAGGAAATAGCTAGGAAACAAACTGAAACGTATAACTAATTTTAAAATGTAATTCACTACTAGACTTTGACTTTTATGTGAAAATTAAGTGCAAGCTATTACCAGAGCTTGCTCTAGCCTCCTTACAAAGAAACTTATCTCTACAAACTGTACACAATAACGAGCAAGAAGAAAGCTATTTAAAAATCGAGCCGGTGAGTGAAACTTGTAAGGGAAGAGAAGTAAGTAGGAATCAAGTGATCATGATGCTGTATTAACTTAAATAATCTTTTGAAAATTTGCGTCTGCGAACGAAACATTATTGAACAAATCTCTAATGATCAAGAGCCATTTAATTGGTTGTGGCATTAAGTCGGCATTGGAGAAAGGCAACGTCTTGGTGTGGGATTGGCCATTTGGAGTTTGCTCTAGAGACTGTCGGGGTTGGTGTTGTTTCGAATTGCGCACTGTTTTGAGAGACGAATTTTGACCCAGTCTCCTACGCAACTTTGTTAAAGCCAAAAAAAGGAAGCGATAGTGTCCCCAAAACAGTCCCAGAGTGCAATTCGACACAACAGTTAACCAGTCTCGGGTCCGGTGCTCTTGAGAGTATTCGCGCTTCTACTATTGCCCACCAACATTGTAAGAAATTCGTTTGTGTCCTCAAGATTTCATTTTCAGTCTCACAATGTTCTGTCATTGACTTGATATTGTCCCCGGTGGAGATTGATAACCAGGTATTTCGCTTTGCGGTGCTGAATTATACCTTAAATACGGCGATGGATAAGGTACGCTGCGATGGTCACGTAATGGTGGAAATCCCCGATACACGGAAGTTGATGTCCCGGGCGAGGTAGGGTGGGGATGTAGTAGCGGTGACGTAATGGTTGGACTTATGATGGGAGTACACGAGGGAACTGTTATGGAGGGGAGCGTTAGCGAGGGAAGAACACGGCCCATGGGTACCAAAGGTGACGTCACAGTCGCCATGGATCCTAAAGACAAGAGCGTGGAAATCGTGAGTTAAAGGCGAATAATGTTCAAGTTAAAATCTTTGGATGATGATTTTATGGAAAGAGGAACGTTTTATTGTCGGTGCAAGTCCACATCAAAAGGTGCCCCCTTCGTTTTCCTCATTCTATCCAAGCCATCTACAAAAGGAAGGACTGGCCAACACAAACCTGTTAAGCTTTCTCCTTCTTCACTCCCAGAAGCACAAGACTTAGGAGAGAACACCTCTCCTTGAATCCGAGACTTTGAACTTGGTACCATGTTGCCGGGTTCTACTTGCTTTATAACTTCTACCACGCTAAATAATTGAAAGAAAACCCAACAACAATCGATTACAATGTCATCCTATCAATTTTTTTTTTTTATAAATTTTAGTTTATTATTTTTCTGTACATTTATGTAACACGCTTAGCCAGCTTTACGACAATGTGTACGCATCAAACAAATTAAAAAACATTAATACCAACGCTAAGTAACCGCCCTAAAGAGTAAAACATTATTATAATACAATATAACATTTAATCTAAGCAAACTAGCACTAATGCAAAATATAAAATTAGGGAAATCTCCACTCGATAGAAAAGAGGACGGAATAAATTTTTATTAGTTGTGAGAAATTTCTTCTGGAGACAAATTCATTGAAAACACTGGTGATTTAATAAAACCTGAGCGCTGGCTCGCCTAGTCTCTGTAAGGCTTCTTCCCAGGCCATCTCGGTCAATGCATTTCGGTGATGTATCGTCCGAGACGAACCTTTCGGACCACGTGAATTGGAACGCATAGGCCGTCGCAATAATGAGGCCTAGGGACTAGGCCAGCACTTTCCCTGTATTTTGTTTTCGAAAGAACCATGTCGGTGGTGAGCAGGTGAGGTGGCTGCTTAGCTTGAGACTATTGACTCGATTAGCTATGCTATTTTCGAGTGGGACATTGATGTAAAACACAAATTTCTTGCAGCATGTTGCATACATGAAAGAGTGTATGTAAAGTGTTTCAACCAGGCCACACCTACCAGTCATCCGGGTCACAATCACGAAATCCTTTAGCGAAAGGGTTACTAGCTATCTTCAGTTGAGTTATCTGCGAAGAATATCAAACAGTGCCAATAGTGACCAATATCAATTTTCTCCTAACGATATCCAAACATTGTCAAGAGATACTATTATGAGAATTAACAAAATGATCAGCACAGACAAAATGTCTTGATCTGTTATCAAATTCTCTCAACTCATTTAGTAAGGAAATGTATGAGATCAGTTTGGAGAATTTGTATGTGCACATTGGGGCGTAAAAGGGTTAAAAACCCTCTGTAGGGAGTAGGGACGGTAACCAGTAAGGTCTAGAGTAGGAACTATAGAAGCGTACTGAGCCTAGAATGAACATGGTGTGGTAAAGGATTACGAGCGGTTTTACAATAGTCCCAGAGCATACCAACTCTCAATGATCTGATACAACCATCGTCTGCCTTCTATATTTAAAAATTCATTTACTCAAAAATTGAACAGACCTTCAAACAGTTCGAGCGTTAGAATCATCTGGTGAAAAACATAAAACAAGTCCACATATCAAACAATATTTCCCACAGTTTTATTCATCTTCCGGTAACTATGCATTCCCCTGGCTAGAAAGAATTTTGAGAATGGTTAATGAGCTACTGGCTAGACACTCTAATCCTTTCCCTCTGGCAATCAATGTGAAGGAATGGAAAAGGACCTACCATGTGGTTTTGATAAGCCGTTACAGCCATGAATTGCGTTTCAGGAAACACGAAGGTTTTCACATGTTCCGTACTCGCTCTTAGAGCACTGGTCATGGTACTCTTTTCTTGGTTGTCTAGTACAACGTGAAATCGAGGCTGGTACTTATGCATGGAGTTGAGTATAATCTAAGAGCAAAATCAGCAACAAAACGGTCATCATTCATTGTTATCGTAATGATCATCATTAACGTTATCAGGAAGAGGTTGGTGATCTCTTTCTTATCTTCAAAGTTTTTCTGTAGAACAGCCTGGAATGGAACCAAAAAGGAATACCGCGAAATTCTTTGTGGAGGGAAAGAGATTTTAATGACGAAACCCTAACAGCGAAGAGCACGCTAAAAGCTCTGAAACCAAGCATTCAAGAAAAGAAGTCTGAAGACTCTTAACGGCAAATGCGGGCCCTCCTTCGCAATCTGTTTTGCCTACTTTTTAAATGATCACATACTTGGACAAGCTACTAATTTTCTAGGCGATTTGATGCCTTTATAATTTAGTAACCTGACAATTAAGCATTTTGTTTTTGGACATTGCAAGGTTAGTTAGACGAGAGTTGAATACAAAAACAACCGCAGTAAACTGAAGAATTTGAATTAGTTAGAGAGGGAAATAAAACCTAATTATGGTAGCTCAGTTAAAGTATGCCGGTCTGTAGGTAATAACAAGGTGAAAGCACTGGGGGGTACATATTAATGAATACTTCACAGCAAGGTAATAAGTTCCGGCGATTAGAAGATAAGCAAAAGAAATGTCGGGTTCGGTTCTGCTTGAGCATACGTGAATTCGTGGCAAAAACTTACTACGCACTAAAAGGAAAAGCGCGTCTGGGTGCCGGGCGGATTCAAAAAATTCAGAAAGGTTGGGCCGGAGACTTGCCATGCGCCACACAAATATATTTATGGTTTCAAGCATCTCTATCCAATATTAAGGCTTTAGAAGCCATATTTTACTAAGAACTCTTACGTATTTTCTTAGGGGACTCCGCAATAGAATAGTCTAAAACTCTATTACGTTACACTAGCACGCCGCGTCTAGCCCGCGCCGGGTATCCTATTCGTGGCTGTGCATTGTGGGTTTCTTATTTAACCCTTTAAGCCCCAATATCCACATACAAATTCTCCAAACTGATCTCTATACATTTCCTTAAAGAATGAGTTGAGAGAATTTTACAAAAGATCAAAGCATTTTCTCTTAGGAGATCATTTTATTAATTCTCAAAACCTAGTCTCTTGACAATGTACGGATATCATTGGGAGAAAATTGATGTTGGTCACTATCAGGACTTAAAGGGTTAAAGGTAAGTTCCTCTTCCCAATAGCGCGCTATTGGGAAGAGAGTACTCCATCTCTTATTAGCATTACAGGCATTGTTTTCGGATGGCTGCATTCGAATAGATTACAACTTTAACACAATTACGAGCAAAAGGACGGACTGGCGGCCCCTCCCCTTCTCCCCCCTCTAAATCCACTCTTCTTCTCCAGCCAGAGGGTGGTTTGATCCAGTGCTTTTCGCTGGCTCAGTAAAATAAACAGCTTGAAAGACCGGATAGGGTGAAGAAATTTCAATAACCGGTGAATTTGGTTTTTACCATAACGTCCCAGTTAACTAATAAAATGTTTGGCTGTCTAACTATCAGGTGATCTTATCATATCCTACCATTTTCTTATCTTAGCTAACAATTTAAAAAAGCCCAGCAACACTGATTTCGATTTTTAACTAACGTTAACCTACGCCAATACGAAACACCACATACATGTCCATTGTCATCCATCAGGTTGTTTGTGAGTTTAAGTTTGTCAAAAGACACGACTTGTTTCATCCATTGCTGTCCAGTACAGGGAGAGTCGGGATGAATGTGTACTCTCCCGGGTACACTGGAGTCTGCTTTGCCCGCCACCAGCCACTTGGAACTGTGGAACGCGTACCTGTAACGTTTGTCGTCCACTGAGACAAAGTCCATCATAAGAATGTATTTGGCTGTAGGGTCCAGTCCGTGAAGTCTCACTTGGAACGGTGGAAACATGCGCCTGTGAAGAAAAGAAAGCCGTGATTTAGAGGACAGTTCAGAGAAGTGTTTATCTTCAACTCACAATGTCGTGCACTGCTCGGGAAACCAGTGATACAAAACGAAAATGATCGCGCCATCTCAGCTAATTAACTTCTAATAAAAGTCAGTTGTCGAGAGTGAAGCACTAAAGTCTGTTATCATTTAAGGTTATCAAGCTAATTTAGCCAGCACTGAAAATATTCCAAACGGACTAACGTTTTGGGCGTTGACGCTCTTACCATTCGAAGGCTGTTTGTCATACTATTACTTCAGTTCAATAAAACGATGTATGTGAAGCATGTAACATAGAAGCTATTTTGCTGATCTAAAGACATACCATTTGTGTTAACTCAAAGTAAAGATGACCTGGTTAGCTGTTTAATATCGTTTTATTTTACACACACACAGAGGAAAAAAAGCTATTAAATATGTGAAGAGGTTCATTCAAACAAAGTTAAAAGGTTCACGAAAAGTTCACAAAAAATGGCAACAACGAAAACAATGGCAATCACTGATATATAGTTTTATCGGAACTATTTCTCTGCTATATCAATTGATATAAATCATTCATACGATAAAGATGAAACATCATGTCCACTATGGAAAACCTACTACTTTACATATTGATTAAAAATGTTTATTTGCTGTAGACAAAGGTAAACAAAGACATGTACATGTCGGAGAGAGACACATGCGTTCTAGATGATCGTCAAGAGGTGGCCGAGGGTTTCTTTGAAAGGTTGAGCCACAAGAGCTCAGTGAAACCGATATAAAGAGACTGTTCTACGCAAAAATTCAAGTATAGCGAATTCTCTACTTTGGAACGGAAACTGCCACCCAAATAGGGATCCCTATGAGCCACAATAAACCAAACCGGTAACACTAATTTAAGAACGGCGGTATAGACAGAGGCAATGGTATTATCAATCTTGCGATGAGGTCTTGGGCAATCGGATCCCATAACTTATACAACCGAATAGTAAACAGTAATGCCACTTAACTGAAAGGAGATAAACCTTCACTTGCATATCATTCCTAAACCACAAAGATTTTCACTGATAATTCAGGTACAAAACCGTAAAAAATAATATCACTCAACTGCAGACTTCTCAAGTATTCTTAGTGATAATTAGGATATCCTCTACAAACTCATAAGTCACTATAATAAGCTTAACCTTGCTTAAGTATGGCCATGAATTCTGTGGAAAACTGCATAACGATAGCTGCAGCTGCAGTGGGTTAATGGGAGATTTGTCTCTGATTTCTATTAGTACAGGGCGTTAACCTTTCAACTCCATTGAAACAATAAACGAAAATAGAAAGCCTGAGGAAAAGTAGGCAGCCAAATACATAGACTTGCTACAAGTCGACCTCACGAGTTCCTTACCAAATATAGTTTGATGCAGTATTTCAAAACCGGGCAAGTGAGAAACAGGGCCAAAAGAAGCCCATTTGCTGTTGTTGTCGTTGTTTTTTTGTAGTTTAAGTGCCCCGAAACAACCCTTGCTTTAGCCGCGAGGCATACTTTATTCCGCGAAGTATATTAATAGAGAAATACCTTGTGCAGCCTGGGCCATATTCCCTCCTAATATGGCCATAAATCAACTCCGGAAAAATGCCTAATTTGAAATCGTAGAATACTACAAGAGACATAAAATATCAGACGAAAGGTCGGCTGAAGAGATTGTATTTGAATAGTCACACCATAGGAATTCTTCCAGAAAATCAAAAGATAGACTGACTTATTTCATGTTATCATTGTCAATTCCGGAATCTAGAGGGCTGAGCTGAAGTTATAACAAGGTTTCCAAAGTAAGGTTTTTAGCTTGACTCTGTTTGGCTGCTATTGAAAGCACCGGGTTGCAGTGGCGTTGTAGTAATCGTGCCTTCACTTAACTTCTTTCGATTTCACGTTTGGCCCAATTTAAACGCCCGCTTATCTGCGAATGGCACTTCCAAAGGCTTGCAGTGAGGTGCGTCCTCATTCTGCCTGATGGTTTAGAGGACCACATTTTTCGGCTAAGTCATTGTTTATCGTATACTAGAGATACAGCACCTTGAACCTGCGTTACTCAGGAGCCAGTCAGTAACAAAGCACTCACACAAGAAATTCACTTTACTGGTGAGAGGCAAAACGCGTTTAACTGATTTCTTTACGCTCTTTGAGTTTACGAGAACTTCTTTTCTAAGAGCGTTGAAGTAGACTATTGACCAAAAATACATACAAAAGAAAAGGAGTGACACCTAACAAAAAAATTGATTTAGCTAGAAACACTTATAATAACAGAAATTTCTATCAACTTATTAGTTTTTATCTAAACGTAGCAAGGCACAGCACGAGAAACAGCTTTAACATAAAACATTATAGAGTTCAAGGTATAGTTTCGTTGCCATTCTAAACTACATACAGCTTAAGCAGTAGATTGCGGACTACAACAAACTACCATAGCTTCATAACTTAGAAACATGCTAAGAATGTTTCAGCTCAAACAGGAAAGCACTAAGAATATTTAGTCTCTGCTCATGTTCGCCCTCAGCTCTAAAATTAGACATCGGATAAAACAACCTGTGACCTTTATCATTATGTTTATTATGTAAGTCCTCCTGCAGTTGTTATTCTAGTACACAGTTAATTTTCCTGTGCGGATTTGTCCAGAGATCACCTTGCACATTCATCCTTCATTAAGACGGGACGCTAAAATATCACTCACTCTTACATAACAATCATGGTCGCAAATCGATTTCATCCGCGTTGTGCAGTGTTGCTTTCACCTGAAGGAATATACACCCAAACCGCTTTACATTGACTCTAACTTCTAAGGCTTGATAGGTGAAAGTAGTTAACTTGATAGGTGAAAGTAGTTAAACCCGTTTAAAACCCTTTCATGGCTATTTCTCTCGTCAAACGGACGTAAGCAGAGCCGTATATTCTTACGGTTCTCCCAGTTTATGTGGCTGGAGACGAAAGATCGCGACTTTTCATGTCAATAAGACATCATGCAAAATTTCACACTGGCAATAGCCCGGTATGCCAAAGTGGAGGTTTCTTCACTATCCAGCCCTTCTTGCCCCCCTACAAAGATGAAGAACTTCCTAATGGGAGGTTGGAGATTATTTTTTCCGTCTCTTTTGGTTTGTCGTTTTCCGGCACGCTAAGTGTTTCGATGGTTTTTAAATGAGTCACTAGCTCTGTGTTAAAGGCGAGGTAGTAGGGAACGGTAGAGGGTAAATTTCGGAATTATTCGTCAATTTGCGTCGTGAATATTACAATGGATAACTATTGTCGCTAGCACTAGCTTCTCTAAGTCCAAGAGAATACTAAAAAGAAACATGTTAATACAAATGACGATTGACTCGCCAAAAAGATGTCCTGCGAATACAGCCATCTCACGTATTGGAAGGCTAGCAAAAAGGTGGCCTATTTTTTTCTTAGAGAATGACTGAATTTGAGCCAAGAAATGCATCCTCTTAGAAAGCAATTACACACTTGGCATCGATTCGGTGAGATCTCTAGAAGGCCCGATTTCTACTTCCTTACTTCCGCGGTTTACCTCATACGAAAGGCGCCAATGATTATTCAAAAATTGAAAATTCCAAAAGCAGGGGAAAAGACAAGCCGCCAAACATAATGTTTCAACTCACTACAGAATTTTGACAGGCATGGCGTTTCGCGCTACTTTTGATTTATGATGGAATTGCGTCCGAAAAATATTTTGTCAAATTACAGGTCTCGATGAATACCAGTGATCTTTCCGGGGGGAACTCAAGGAGCTTTACCCAGGGGGGCGCCGCCCCCAGGTACAAATCTGTACCCTAATGTATTCGCTTTTAGTGTTCCATTTGCGATAAAGTTTGAGATCATTATTTCAGCTAGTTTCCAGAGAAAATGATGCCCTCCTTTAACAGACTGTGGGTGAGAATTGAGCGACTTTCAATAAGCATGCACTTTGCTTGGGTATAAGCTGCTTCAAATAGTATCACTTGGATTAAACAGCCCTGAGGTGCGGTTTTTATTACGATATTTCTTTCCTTTGCGCCTGTACTTTCCTGATAGAAGCCAAAAATAAAATTCACAATAAAAGTCCAAATTCTAATCGAAACATTTCAAATGAAGAAACTGAATCAAATACAACGCCGGTGAGAAGTTACTACTCTACTCTTAATTACCAAAGATGAAGAAAATATGATTAAAATCTTCTATGGCACACCCTTTTAATATGAAGAGCCCAGCTCTGAAAAACTGAAGTTGCAGATAGCCAATAGCTATAAATCAGTCAAACTACTGGGTCCTCGTTATACTCATCCCCAAAATGCTCTAAATGAATAATTGAAGAATCCACACATGTATGATAACACCAAAGAAACGCGCAAAAGCTTGTGCTGTATGCATGGTTTCAAATTCATGCAAAGTTCCCTGACTAAATATTGATTTTGAGAGTAAATGGGTTACATATCCCCAAATAAAGGTTTTCATCTGCATAGTCATATTCTTAACTTCGTAAAATCCTTTCCCGAATCTTTCGTGCACTTCGAAAGTACCATGTTGGGTGTCCCCAGTCTGCCATTCATTCTACAGTCAGTTTGCGCGGGTTAGACTGCACTCTCTTCGGACTTCTCATAGCGTTTACTATTTCTAAACTACACTGAAAAGAACGGAAAGCTACAAAGCGCAAGCAAAGCGAGCCTTAGCACAAAATCCATGCTTTAAAGCGAGAAAATGGACGCTGTGAAATGTCCCCATTGGAGCCCCCCGGGTTATGAGTTGCCTGAGGCTGATCTAGTCCACAAACAGACATCAGTCATTGTTTGAAGTTAATTTCACGATAAAAGCAAAAGCATTGCATTTAAAAACTTAACATAGCGCTTGATTTCTGGCAAATCACTATGCGAACATTAGGGAAAAGGGAAACTTATTTCGAGGCGCTTCTCCACCACACGTTCACTGCTATCGGCTCAAGAACACTGAGCCAAAGATATTCGTGTAATCTTACAACTTTTAATTAGCTTAGCATTCATGCAACTTCCTGTCCCTCTTAACTTTACAATAGCCGTTTCTGCTTGTTTGTATTTTTTATTTGTATTTCTGGGGGAAAATTGAGAGAAATTATATTCCGATGGCCACACGCGTTTCTATCCGTTCACTGCTTTTGTCCTCAGAGAAAACAAACAGAAGACCGCCCCATAATGGTTCCTTGTTATGATAGCGCCGATTATGACATCAAAAACATTTTTTCCGGCTAATGGAATAAACAGACTTTCTCACTGAAAATAAACGTATTCAGTGCAATGTTATTTTTTTGGAATTCACCAGGTCGCATGCCAGTAATGAGCGATTTCCTTGTACGTTATCAAACAACGCAAGATAACGGACGAGCAATTTGCGCACAATTTTCGAACAATTTACTCACGGCCTCCGTAACCCCATATTATTACAAAAAACCGTTTGAGCAGCAACGTAAGCTGCTTTCTGCAGCGTGTATTCCTTAAAAACATCAGCGCTTATAAATAGTCTATCTGCACTGAATTTACACATTATTTGCCCCAAGCGAAATTGAACGATCAATATTGTCTATAAAAGGTGTGAACGTGGAATTTGGTGATAATATTCGCTAAGGTTACTCATATATACTCCCAGAGCTAACTTCAGTATATCTATGAGCAGAACACAGACTACTAAATTTGATTTTCCTCCGTTGTGCAGTTTTTTAGATGACAATTCATTAAAATTCATGCTCGTAAATTATCATGTTGCACCGATAGTAAAGGCGTGAAATTATTAAAGAAGTGGCTAACCTTCCCGCCTTTGTTACTATCATCTCTGTGCCAAGAGAGTAAAAATCGTCCCATAAATTCTTCATCTCGATGTCTACTTTTACATTGGCTAAGGAACAGGCCAGTGGACTGGCTGGAGGAGTGGACGAAGTGCAGCATCGCTCATCTATATTTCTACAATCGCGCGACGAACTCGTGCTGTCTGAAGGGAAATTTTCAGGCGACGAAACCTTCTTTCCTGTTCCTGCATTTCGAAGCCTCTCTACGATAAACAATACGGAAAAAAAATGAAGGTATTATATCACTAGTGTCTACCCGAGGTGCTGAAATATCCTCTCACCCTCCATATCTTTGGTTAGCCTGAATGAGTCCCAGTTGAACATTATTGGAACGTACGTCTGTCGGTTGTAGCTGGTGATGTTCATGAACCCCGGGATCTGTGAAGCGTCTATCAAATGTGCAATCGAGAATGCGTTCGCCTTGGGAGATAGCGGTCCGGATAGGTCCATTTAACGACCAATCCGGTTGCTATCCGATTAATTAGCACAAAGCCCGAAGACCGTTCGGTCAGAGGTTTTCACTGCGTGTAAGAAAGACGGAGACGCGAAATTGATGCGAGTTTCGTAAATGTGTATCTCAAGATGATGCGCGCTTATGGAGCGCTTGTCTAAAGATGGAATTTCCAGTATCTTGGCCTTCCTCTCGAGTTATGACCTCCTGTCATTCAACACTGTCATTACAAAAACAATAACTGTCACCTGTGGAGAGAAACAGTTCGAGTGGAATTCTGAAGGAGATTCATTGTTATCAAGAAGGCGCGCACGGTTTTCGTGGCCATGTGGCCGTGTTTATTCTTTCGAATTCAAAGATTAACATAAAATGGATTTGTAAGAACGTTATGAAATATCATTCATGCTTGATCCTTCTAAGAATGCCCCTGGGAAACATCAAATAGTGCTGCTTAATAATGTGATCCGAGACGATGTTGTTGTTTTTACACGTGAGATGTTAAGAGCTATAAAATGCAATCTGTTCTTTAGGTGACGGCAAAGCTGTTAAAATTTTACATCATCGGTTAGTTATGACCCGGTTAAACCTTAAGAGAAGGTCATTAACTATAGATGGGCAGATATGCCCGGGCTTTTGACGTTTTTCACATGAGAAATCGTATTCGTTGAAGTTTGGCATACCGTTCAGAAGGGGAGTGTTTAACACAAACATCTAAATTGTTAGGTGTTGGGTTTGCGTTTTAATTGACATTGTTAAACAAACTCTCCTGACAAGGAAGGTGCTGGCTAAACAATTACGCCATAAATCTTTGTTATCATTCGCACTTCTTTTATTAACAAGGTGTCAATCATTCGGGGTGAGCGATTGTTGTTTCTTGGTTTGGCTTCATCGGGCGGTGAATTACAGGATTTAAAAAGCGTCTTTCATCGAGCATATTATCAGGACAAACCGTAAATGAAATCACGAGTGCTTTAATACAGCTTTGCGATTGCGAATTGGAGTATTTCAGGCCCGCGGACGGCTACATAATTGGGGAAAATCAAGATTACCGGCTATTCGTGCTTATAGCCTGGGTTACTAAGATTCCATCACATTCGCTAATTCTCTGGCAAAAACCAGATGTGGATCATTTGAGGCAATTTACGTAAATTTTCACCTCTTTCTCTAAATGTAGCAGCTTTAATTTTTTGTTTTAACCACACTTACTCAGCTGTTTATGCCAAAACATTGATCATGCGCTTCTAATGAGAGACTTTTTGTGGCCTGTTACATCAATTGATAGTTCAGGATAGACACGATAGTGGTCAATAGTCGAATTGAAAACTTGATATTCAAGCAAAACATACGTGTGCCTAAAAAACGCACAGACGTGTCACTATAACCGGGTTAAGTTTCGACAAAGAACACCTGCTCATTTTTATGTTTTCATAAAGATCGACAAAACTGACAAAGATCTGACGTCCCGAAATGGGGCAGGTCGCATCTCATCCCAAACGCGTATTTTGCCGAGGTTTTCAGGGTTTAAATCCAACAATAATAAGCAGGAAAAAAATGCCGGAAGTCGATGTTTTTGTACGCTTGTGCGGGCCTTGTCAAATCGATCACACAACCTCGATAAGAAAACATGTAGGCGTAGAAGGCTTGCATGGTAGAGAAATTGGTTTTTAATTCTATTATATCCGTACATTCAATTAAGCAATCTAATTTGACGGTGCTTAATTAAAAACATGCTAAAATTGCTGCTCTCGAAGAATTTAAAAAGAGTACCAAAGAAAATAGCCTGGGGTTCTACAGTTTTTCTCACTAATGAATGGCTACCTAAGCATGCAGCATTAAAATCTCTTCTATAAGCCGTGATTATCACACTGCTGCTGTCGCCGATTGACTATTCAGTGCTGAGAGAAACGAGGGCTACTTACCATCACAAGTTTTTACTTTAGAGCTTATCTGCGATCAAGCCATAATCCCCTCCTGTTCTTCTCTCCACAAGAATCAAATGGAGCCCCACCGATCATGGAAGAATGATTCCATTTTATGCTTATCCCCTAAAGATGCCCAAGGTTCGAAAATTTAAAAATATATATTAAAAAGCCTCATTTCATATAGTAGCGTATCGATAGAGTACCGGGCCACAGATAGTGATTACTGAGGTGATATCTCCGACGCCGGTGCTGAGAATCAGGCAACTGGCTACTCGGCAACTGCGATCACCATGTCGAGTTGTAAGTTGTAGTGTACCGCTACTGCCACAACTGTACTATAATTCCGACACGGTCTGTTGACAAATGAAATCAAGCGAAGGGGTACGAAAGCTTTATGAGCTAAGGAAGCTCATTGCTTTATTTTAAGGTACGGAATCACAGAATTCATGGCCATGTGAAGCAAACGAACAATTCAGGTCATGAAAGAGCCCAGATGGATGCGATTTTTACCGCTCCTCTAAAGACTTTCGGTTTTCTAGTATATCAAAGACGCACCGCTTGCAGGGAAATCGAACCACGAGTAAACCGCGCGATTAGCAAAATTCCACGATGATAACAGACGGAAATTATTATCAGGTCTGTATTTAACACATAACTTAGCGTGACACGTCTTTGGATATCGCAGCATTGAGGAGAAAGTAAATTGCGCTAATTGTTAGTCGCACTTTTGATTCTGGGCCTGACTTGTCTGTCAGCGATGCGCGTGGATCTCATGAAACTAAATCAGGAGCGTGAATGATGAGTATATTTCTTACTTTCTATTTTGTTCACATCTTTAAAAACGCATCAGTAATTTTTAAAACATTGAAGGACGAACCTGTTGACCCCTTTGGTGTCTTTTTACGTATTTCACTGGACGCAAGGTAAAGTGGTACCTCGATTTAACGAAGGGCCAAGGGACTCAGGCATATTCGCTGTAAAGAGGAGTCCGTGGAGGTTCATTGCCATATATACTACTATTACTACGTCGATGAATCGAGGACCTCGTTTTATAACCGTTGCACAAATGTAAGTGAGGTTAGCTAATATTGTCTAAACACTTTCTCATTTGTAGGTTTCAGAAACAGTCGTTTCTTCCCCATAAAAACACAGGTACCCCAAGCTCACGAGTGAGTTACGAAACAAATATTATATTAAGAGTTTGTATGGAAAATTTATTGCTTTTTATTAGGGCGTTAAAATAGAAATAAAAATACATCAAAACTTCCTACCTTGTCTGCTTGTCTTGTTTGTGGTATGTTCCTAGTCTTCTTAGCAGTTCTGGCCGTTTCAGCGCGATTGAGCGAGTTTTAGTTCTACCGAACGACCGGGCGAACGGCCAGAAATGCTAAGAAGACACCACAAACAAGACAAGCAGACAAGGTAGGAAGTTTTGATGTATTTTTATTTCTATTTTAATGCCCTGAATAACGATCGACAAATTTCCCATACAAACTCTTATAATCAGTTTCTGTTACTCAACTCACTCGTGAGCTTGGGGTACCTGTGATAAAAATCCTCATAATTCGAAGGTTGCGCAAGAATGCCGTTAGTCATATCTCGAACTTGGGCCACCTGTGGTTACAGCTGTGGTTACAGCTGCCGTTACTGCATGTTATTTTTTAATATGCACTAACTTTATCGAAACTTATAAGTGTCGGACATCTTACAGCTGGCGAACTCATTATGTCTCAATAATTGCTCTAAGTTTTGGTGCAGTTTCTGTCGGTGATCAAAGTACGAATGACTGCTACTTGCGTCATGCACCAAGTTTTCTCAAACCTACCGAGGAATAATTAGAGAAGTAAGATCACATTCAAATCATAATCAAGAGGGACAGCTAAATTTTAAAAAGAAAAAGAATTGAAAAAAAAACCTGGTCACGCTCTTCTTGCGTGACTGGTTTGCGAATGGCTGAGGGGCTGCGAGGTATCAAAATCGGAATAGTAACTCTCATATAGTAACTGTCTCACATTGAGATGCAAATTGTTGTCGAGTCAGCCCAGTTACGTTATGTTACACTTAGAACTGAATAATTGTTGTCAAAGGTGATTTGACTTACTGGAGAAATTATTGATTGAGGATAATGGTGGCAAATAAAATAGCCTGCGTAGCAGGCGCTGGTTATAATTTTTTTTAGGCCAGCAGGCTGCAAATAAAATTGAACCCGCTAACAACACGATCTCTGACAAATGAAGACAGCCCTGGTGTTGAAGCACTGCGCCATAATACTGCTCTATTTTGTTTTTAACATGACAAATACTTAGTCTTGGTCTGGGTTATAAAGAAAGGTTAGAGATCTAGGAGAGGGCCCCGGAAGAGACAACCACCCACCCCCTCCTCCCCCGCCCCCCCATCTTGAACCAAAAGCGAGAAACGTTTTTGTTTCACCCTTCCTGATACTAAACAGACGCTATCATAAAAGAGATCATGTAATTAAACTGAAACGCACCGCATATTGTTAGGGGCCGACCATTTAACTCTTGAGGGTGGGGGTAGGTGATTTCTGGTCATCAAGAATTTTTTTTCCTAGCAATATGGTGGGCAGGATATTTTTTTCCCTTTTTTTCCCATAAGCTCTCTATTACATTTGTGCTGCATGCAATTTTTTTCTTCCGACAAGCGCTTGCAGGAAATTTTTTTTCAAAATCACCCCCCCCCCCCCCTCAAGAGTTAAATGGTCGGCCCCTTATCAACTCCTACTCCATAGAACACTTCAAGGAAGCACAGGAGAGGCCACTCCAATTTTTTTGTGATTGGGACAATCAGGCATGTCAGAATCTGTCAGGAGCCAGTGACTCGGTTCATGAGCTCCTGGGCATGTCGATTCTCTAAAAATTGGGTTACTGCTTCTTGTTTTAGACGATGTTATGGGTACCTTTCCAGCCGATACCCCTTCGATTATATTAGTGTATAGTTAATGACAGGACAGTGCGGTACAATGATAATAATAATAAGATCCTAAGAGGGAACCGAGACACCTAAGGCTATGGGATATGGCTTGATGCTTTCGGGAACAAGGCCACCTATAGATGTGAGACATGAACATAGCAAAAATAATCAATAACAACAATAATATTAATAATAATAATAATAATAATAATAGTAATAGCAATAGAAATAATAATCGATAATCCTTCTAAGGTAAGGCCTCCCTGCTTCAAACTATTT